TTTAGGATGCTATAGCACAAACAAATAAGTAAATACATAATAAAATAATTAATTTGTTTCTCATTTTACAAAAGAAAAAAAAAACTCTAATAGATCAGATAAAATTGCTTGCAGTGATAAAACAAGTATAAATCTTTGTATTACAGTTATGTCTTAAATTCTAAAGATCTTTTAACATTTGAACATGTAAATAGAGTTATCTGTGGGATGGAACATAGCAAAATGGAATATATCTTTAATTATAGCATCCTGATTTTTTTATGCTGGCGTCCAACAGGAGCAATATTGGCTTTAATTCGACACAACATTTCCTTTGCGTGTTTTGAGACAATGTGATGTCAGTGAATCCAGATATTGTCATTATCTTAATTCATGTTAAAACTACAAAATAAATGTTGGTAGCTGCAGCACAAAGACCGCAAATTAGATTTTCCATTTAGTATTTGTACATGCAGTTTGCATATCCTCCTGTGCATGTGTGGGTACTCAGTACCACAGTCCAAAACCCTGACTGTTAGTATGGTTAGCATCCTTACATTGCCCTTAGTTCTTTCTGTGCATGGATGTATGTCTCTGCCCTGTGATGGACCTGCGACCTGTGCAGGACGTACCCCGCCTTTTGCCAATATCCTGTTGGCCTGACGGAGAGGCAAGAAGAAGAAGATCGATGGATTTTTTTACCAGCCTGTTAAGCTGCTAAATGAAAATCCATGTCCCGTTTATCAACAGGTGTATGCCAGGGTTCACTATCATTTAATGTTCATAAATGTGGACATAAATAAACTATTAACAATTCTTCAAGACTCCTGTACCTCGTCCACGTTTCTGGAGTACTTACTTTATATTAATAGTAAACATAGAAATGTTGATTTATAATTGTATGTTGTAAATCCAGCTCTCCATGGAGCTCAGCTGGTGATATCCTACCTTATGATAGCAATATGATACAGCATTGAAACGTTTATGATCACTTTGAGATATAATCTATTCTATCTACAAATAATCTATTTTCATACACACAATTATGTCTTTTCTATTGTGTTTGTAATTTAAAGAAATATACCCTGCTAAATTGTATAGATTTCTTAAGGTATTGGAATGTTTGCCCAATCTATAGGGGCTCACATGGCCTGGATCCTCCTCAACAGTGGGACTTTGTTCATTTTAAATCAGCTGTGAACGAAACAAGAATTGAGCTGCCTGAGCAAACTGTATAATAATACTGAGAAAGAAAAAATTGGTCCTACCGTTTTTTTGTTTTTTTTTAGACATTATTACAGCTGAGTAATTAATAGAGAAATTAGTTTTGGGGTATTGCAACTGTCTGCATTAGATAAATGTTCACGTAAAAAAGATCAGTCATTTATTTATTGTAAATACAACCAAAACATTTAGTTGTTCTGCAGCTACATCAATTCTAATTTAAAGGGGGGATAAAATCATGAAACTTTTAGACAAAAGACAAAAATACTGAACTTTATTGTAAACATGGAGGGCTGCGTTATATTTTCTATACAAGGCATCCTTGAGAGAAATGTTTAAAAAAGGTTACAGGTCATCGAACAGGAAAATAATTTAAACCATACAGCTAAAAGCAATGAAGTATTGTAAAGGGCAAAAAGAAAAAAAAGTTAGTCAACTCCCAGTGAATCCGGGCTGAGCGTAGACCAGAACCTTATTGAAAATCTATGAACCTTAAACTTGCATTATGTAGATGCTGCCAGTCTTGGTAGAGCAAGTTTATTTAAACAGCACATTTTTTTCAACAAAACAATTCAAAGTGGTCTACATGACAAAAAAAGGGAAAAATAATTACAGTGGTACACACGCAACACAAATAGTTAAAGGCAAGTAAAGTGGCATGTTTTAATAAGCAGATTACTTATTAAATAGATCAAATGACTGATAAATAGAAAAAAATAAAATCATTAAGAATATCGTACATAAGTTAGACCCCAACCCTGACTAGAAATGTTTATATAGCACAATCAAATGCCATTCTAAACAAATGTGAAATAAAAAAAACAAAAACAAATTTAAAGCAACTGGGGTTTGCACCATTTTTACAGTTTTCTGGGGGTTGAGAAGACCTGAGAGGTCTGGGCTTTAGATAAACTGACAGCAGGTTTGTAATGTATTTATGTACCCAGTCATTCAGTGATTTATAGACTAAACCCTTTTAAAAGTCTATTCTATGTGAAACAGAGAGCTGGTGGAAAGACTTTAGAGCTAGGTGATGTGCTCCACTTTGTTAGTGTTAGTGAGGACGCCAGCAGCAGCAATGTAGATGAACTGCAGCTCTCTGTTAAACTTTTTAAGCAGTCCAATAAAACAAAAACACTGCAGTAATCAATTCTACTAAAGATGATAGCATGACTTACTTTCAATAGTTTCGCTATAGAGAGGAAAAGGTGGGTTAATATTGGTCAACATTATTGCAAGTCTCAGCAGCAGTGATATTGTGCCCCCTTGTCAATGTAACTAATAGAACCCATATTTACTTTTATATTTCTAAAAATGTTTCATACTACACAGAATCCCCATGAACGATTAAGGTAGTTCTAAGCTTTTTTCAAAGTAAAAAAAACTTTTTGGCTAAAATAATTGCACTTATATCTTCATTGTTACTTTTAAACAGCTAAGCCTGAAACAACTGATGTATTTCAGTGATACTGACTTTCAAAATCTGTTTATCAATCATGTTAAAGATGTGCAGGAATTTAAAATGTTTCTTTATGTGTCATGGAATCAACGTGTTAAAATAAAGTCGCTGCTTCTTTCAGATAAAGACTCTTTGTTCGTGCTTCAAGGATACAGTAAGAAGGCAGTGAGCTGCTAAGCAGCTGTTACAGCTGTTTCTCTAAACCCGAATTAGTCATCAGGGTCATTAAATAAAACTTAAACATGGCAAAAGATCAGATTACATAGGTTTATTCAGTACCCTGGTGGTCAAGTAAACTTTTTTTTTTTTTTTTTTTTTTTTAGGAGTTTGAACATATACAAATGCAAAAAGTCAAGTTTTTTATCTCTGGACAGGTGGAGAATATTTCATATTGGTTATTCAGTGGTGATAATTTCAGAGAGCAACTCCTGGAAGTATGAGCATCATCTATAGCACCCAAACTGGATGATTTTAGAGGAGCCTTGTTTAAAATGTATAACACATAGGATTGCAAACCAACTTGCTAATGTTCAATCACTAAAGTTTCCCAAAATTGTTGTTTTGTATTTTTTTACCCGAACGCTGAAAGTCATGAGACAATCTGCGTAAATAAAATAAAAGTTCAGAAGGATTGCTTATAGTAGGATGGATTTTAACATACTCAAGATAATAACTGTAGCCATAAACTGATCAAATTAAAGTATTTTTTGTATAAATTGACTTTGTCCTATTATTATGTTTGTATGTAATTAGCTTAACAGCAATGTTTTCAGAGTTCATCAAGCGACAGCTGTGGCAAAAGTCTCTGCCACAATAATTATGTGGGATAGAAACTGAAAATGAAGGAGCCACAATGGCGTTGTAACATATAATCAAACTCCTGCATATCATACTTTGCTAGATATCAGTTATAGCAGTAAAATTCCTTTCTGACCAATTTACAGATCTCTGAAACATCTGATCTCAGTTGTGTGTTTAGGATATCAACATAGGTATTTAAAAAAGGCCGGGTTAAAACCACATTTAAATGTTGTAGAGAAAACCTTCAATATTTCAGTATTTCCCACCCAAAACTAGATATAGTACATTTAAAACATCTTTAATGATAATTTTATTTTTAAAGAGTAATTTTTATTTTCATCCAAAGCTTAAAACTGGTTGTGCTGCCAAACTCAGTTGGAGGCAACAATTACTATTAAGCTATGGCAAAGAAAAAAAAAGTAAAATGTTTGGCCTGCTATCATTTTTTGAATTGTTTAATTTTAGCCATAATGCAGTTTTTTATGTATTTTTTTTGACAATCAAGGACCTATTTGAGGCTCTTCCGGATTATCTCATATACCGGTATATAATTAGATCCAGGTCTCATATGGCTCACTCCCAGAACTTTTTGTTGACCAGTTGAGGGGTCCGTTTTATTTGCTTTAGATCACATGTCAAACTCCTTGCTTTGCTGGCTAGTTTGCAACTGTTAAATAGGTCCATGATCTAAAATACTTGAATTAAATAATTAAAGGTATAGTAGAGGATTTCTGTGAATTTTTGAAAAGACTATATATTACTGCCGGCTTCCGTAGCGTCGTGATCGCGCATGTGCGCGCTTTCAGGAAATCCTATACACTACTGTTTATGCTCTAAAAACATTCTAAATGACTTCGTTTCGAGTAAATTCTGGATGCTACCCACTCAGGACACTTGGAATACATTGGACGAGCAGTATGGAGGAATATTGACACGTTTTTTGTGGACTTTTATGGACCTTTCTGCCTCGGGCGCCACAGACCTCCATTATTTGAATGTCAGCAGACAGCAAGAAGCCTCCCAGATCTCCAGATGCATTTGAGATATCAAAAAAGTACTGCAGAGTGTTGTTCAGCATGGGGGTGAGTAGAAAATGAAGGCTAATCATGTTTTGGGTGTACTATTCCTTTAAGCTGCCACTCTCTGCATAGGATCACTGGACTTCTCAGATAAAAGTGTTACTAGTGTCACCTGGATCATAAGAAACTTAGAGGTAAGATTATCTGCACCTTTCAGATATGACCATGACTTTGCAGGGTAATATAATCTGCTCTGAACATGTTTTTATTTCCTACAGCAGAAGAATATTGTCTTAGCGGGGATGAACATATGAACAGAAATCTATGGTTGGTGAGACGTTTAGTTAGACCTTAAAAAAAAGATGCACCTGTTTAATAGGGCCTGTCTGTTATAAAACAAGATAGTATGGTTTGGGTTTATCACGTAGTGAGATCAACAGTGACACCTAGTGGTGACGTGGATAAAATAGATATATCTGCGGAACTTTGATGTGAGGGATGCTAAAAACGTCGGACTCATTTAGCGGACGGAACAGGAAACAGAGGCTTAACTTGTATCCCTCTCATATTATCGAAATATACATGTAGACGTAAGCATTTTCGTGTGTTTGTGGGTAGAATGGTGTCCCGCAGACAGGAACGGGTGTGGAGGTATGTGGAGGAAGGCAATCTTCTAAAGCTAAAGTCGTTTCTCCGAAAGCACCGGGATTTGGACGTCAACTTCTCCAAGGGGAAGAGGCTGAGGAGCCCACTGCAGCTGGCCTGCTCGCTGGAAGACGACGCTGTGCTGCGGCTGCTGCTCAAACACGGGGCCGATATTCTTCAGAGAGACCGAAAAGGAGACACAGCCCTTCACATCGCCGCCAATAGGGCGCTAAAACACGGGAAAAGGGGTAAGGGACTGGAGGCCTTACCCGGATAGGCTATTTCTCGCTGCTGGTTTATGTTTGCTTTCAGTTCAACTTGTATTTGTGCTGTTCTTTCATAGTATATGATGACGTCGTTGTGCCTCTTAAGAAAAAATGTCCAGAAGCTTTAAATGCACCAAATAGAGCTGGAGTAACACCACAAGATCTGCTGAACTGGATGAAAAATTCACAGGTAAACAACATTACACACCAAACACCCATCTAATATAAACCTTATCCTTAATGACTAACGTTTGCTAAAGCATTTTCACAGCAACAGTCTATAACCAGCTTTCTGAATCAAAACATGTCATTTGGACTCTTTAGGCAGGGAGTCTGACCTGGTGTTATGATGGGGCTGCTTCGAACCAAGAGTTCTGTTTGTTGCTTTATATCCCCACTGAGTCTGTGTCTGATTTTTATTTTGTTTATTTTTACTAAATATAACAGATTAAGACCCTTGATCAAACAGAAACAAACCTCGAACCAAAAAACTTTTCAGATACATGATTAAATATCTTTACAGCTGTATACTGGTAAGTTATAGAAAATTAATTTAAGTCTATTGGATTTAAATCAGGTATCAAATACTCCCCAGGTGGATATGAATTGCTGCTTGACACAAAAATTCTACATAGCCAAGGGGATAAAAGAAGGTCTGATGTCATTGGTCCTATGCAAAAATATGCATGCTCTTTTTATGCTTGACGTGAGCATCAGGGCGCATATCGTTTAAAGAGAAAAGCAGCATTTTTCACTTAATTTATACAAATTTTATAAGCACTACACACTAGATGCTGTTTATTAATGACTGAAGCATGACTGGCTCTGATGACTGAGGAATTAGGACTTCTTTTTTCCAATTTGAAAAGGTTTGCCAGCGACTGAAGCAGTATGTAAATACTCGCCTATTTAGCCAAATATAGTCTAAAAATGTCTGTTATATGTGGATTTAGCCCATATATTTTTTTTGAAGATATAGAATTGTGCTAAGGTGAACAGAGAGGTAACACCCGTTTTTATCTTTTATATGCTCTCCCATGTACATGTAAATACAATAAATTATTTGCCATCCCATGAAGCAAAATTATACATTCAAGGGACAGCAAAGTTTTTGTATTTACATGTGACACGGGAACTAGAAGAGGAACTGACACTGAGCATTTAAAATATTCATTTCACTATAAAAATCGTACATCCGGGCTGTTGTTACTCTGTTTAGCCCATTTCAGCCTGAAACAGTCAGATTATTCGCAATCAACTGATTATTAAAATATTCGTCAACAAATTTAGTAATCGATTAAACATTAACTGAAGTATAGAGACTAAAACATGCTTTTAGCTGACAGAGCAACCCACTTGGGGCAGGAATTAGATCAAAATTGTAAAAAAATATATATATATATATATATATATATATATATTAAGATTTTGCATTTAAGATAAAAAAGACGTTTTCATCTGTCGATATTCTTCAGAATATCTCTCTTTCATCTGGTTTAATTTCATTGGAGAAAGAGTAGAGTTACGTATGCGGATAATTTAAAAGCACAGCATAGACCGTGCAGGTCAGACGGAGCGGCAGCAGCTGCCAGGCAACAAAGCTGCAAGAGGAAAAGAAGTGACTGTTGCAACAACGCTGTATTGTAAATTATAAACGTTATTCACATCGAATTATTGGAAGGGACAAATAGGTCAGTCCACAATTTTGATAGAGACACGTCCCTATGGTCCCTATGCAAACCTACACCCATGCTGTTTTCTCTGCAGTGAGTACAAAAGCGATTTGTGCACCAAGGTGGAGGCCAACTATTTGCATTATATGAAAATGCAACAAAATGCAGTTACAAAAGTGGTATATACTCCCACTTCTCGTTTTTATATTAATTGATGACTACAAAATTTTAGATAACCAATTACTTAGACATCTTTTATTGTGATTCTGTATACACAGAGTGTATACCAAACGAAATTTTGCTTTGTACTGCTTTCAGACCATTTCTATTTCATAAGGTGCAGCAGTGATCAAATGTAGAGTTTGGGAGAAAAGACATAGTGCAAAAACGCAACCAACTCTTCAAGGTTGGAAATAATTTGCATGTTTTTATTTTTTTTATTTAATGTGGTTTCTTTTTTTCTTCTTCTTCTTTTTTTTTTTCCGGAAAACCAACTGAGAAATTCTTTTGCTACTAATCATTTGTTAAATGGACCAGTGGAATACAAATTAACCTGCTTTGGTTTCTATAAAGGGATGATTGTGTGCATTTATATACCGTATTAGTTTTATACAGCACCAGAGTGTTAAAGGCTGTAATTAAGGGAGCAGTTGACTTGCAAAACAAAACAAAGCATTATTGGGTCGGAAAGAAAAGAAAATATTGATTGACTTCCGTTTTTTGGGTTGGGTGAAAGATTAGAGTTTCTTTTTATGATTGTCACACATCCCCTGAAAAAGAACTACAAGTTTTTGGGAAATTACATTTTATTAAGCTGTGGTGCTTTATTATGGTGCTGCTGATTGGGACATGACTTCATGAACTTTACACATCATGTTTCAGCCCCCTGAGCTGGTTCTACTGCTTGCTTTACAACATTTACATGTATTTTCCTTTTGTTTTTTCAGGCTGCGGAAAACATGAGTCGTCCACCCAAAGCAGACCCAGAGAAGGAGTGGCTGGAGAAGCTGTTTGGTGAATGCGAGGATGAATTCTTCGAAACCTTTGGAGCATATGATGGTAAATCTAAATTTCTAAATTCAAGTCGGGATTTTTCCTGGTTTTTTAAATCCTGCTGCTTTTCTTTGGCAGCTGATGATTATCTACCTGTTGACGAAGAAGAGGAAGACTTTGGGGATTGGGTAGATCGCATCAGAAGAGAATATTTTCATAAGAAACACGTTGAAGCTCAAAGACTGGCAGCGTCATCTAGGAAAAAAGAAAAATGTAGACAAAAAGAGGAAAGCAATAAAGAGCTGTTTGAAAGGTTGCAGAGAGAACACGAGGAGTACCTGGCTCGAGCGGCGCAAAAAGAGGAAGAGACTCGGCGGGGAAAGAAACGGCATTACGATGAGCGATGTGCTGACATGTTCAGCTCGGCTGCCTCCACATCGGGCAGCTCAAAGCTCAGCTATGGTGACATCCCCTGGCCAGCTCCGAGGGGCACCGTCCAGGAGATGTTGGATGTAATGCTGCACGGTGTGGACCGGAAGGACGAGGCGGCATTTCGTAAAGCCCTCCGGAAGCAGCAGGCGCTGTGGCATCCTGATAAGTTTGCTCAGCGCTGTGAAGCTCGGCTGGAAGAGAAGGACAAGCAGCGGATTCTGGACACAGTGACGGCTCTGTCACAGGAACTCAACAGCCTGGCTCAGACTCTCAAGGCTTAGAGATGAACACTAATCACATGTTTTAACAAACTCAGCACTAGTATCCTATCGAATTGGCAACAAAGTTCTTGCACTGTAAAGTCCAAACTCCTAAAGACATCATTGGTGCAAACTATGGGAGTTCTTGAACAAAATAATAAAATACTAATACAGAAGTTACAAGTGAATAATTTTTTTTTTTTCTCAGCCTTAAATTGTGCTTCTGAAAAGTTTTTATTTTTGGGTGCAATTATAATGCACCATAGAACTTGAATTTTAAGAACAAGAATTTGGTGCATCAGTTTGCATTTAAGACATTTTTATTGTCTTTAATCCACACAGGTTCAAAATCCAGGCTTAAACATCTACCGTACAATCCTTTTTATAAGCTGTAGATATACTAGGAATATTCAAAGGTGACATGAACAAGCTTCTCAAATAGTTCTGGAATGAAATCTGACTACCCTCTAAAAAACCTCTACTACTTATAGAGGTTTTTTAAAGATATTAATTTCTTGATATTGATCCAACTTGTAAATGTAGTGCAAAAATTTGAACAAAGTTAAAATCAGGACTTAAGGAAGATAATTCAAAAAGCCCTAATCTTTAGGATATGTTTTTTTTTATTTTGCTCATTTTGTATAGAAAACATTTTATTTTTGCACTTTTCCTAAAACAAAAGAATTTTGTCTAGACACTATTTGTATCAGACTTAATTTGAAATTACAATAAAGATAAGTCTAAAGAAGACCCACTTAAGCAGATTTCTATCAACATGTACATGGTTAACCTCATCTGGGCAAAGTGGACATTTGATGGAATGCAGCTGAGGCTCTCCAAACCACAAAAAGCTGTACCGGCTGTCAACTTTGGTGGTAGAATCATGCTAAGGGGCTGTTTGGCTGCCAGTGGAACTGGTGCCTTGCACAAAGCTGTAATGAGGACATAACCTACAAATTCTGAGTAAGGTAATTGAAACTTTTATTTATTTTTTATGGCACTAGTGGCTTGTTTTTCTGACAGTAGGCTGACACGAAAAGTGGTAGGAGAGGGGTGGAGGATCATGCGTCAAAGAACCACAGCCCGGATTCAAATCCGGGTCGAGGACTAAGGCCTCCGTACATGTGTCATGCGCACTAACCACTGCTCCACCTGCACGCCCCAGTTAATTGAAACTTGCACATAGTTTGCTTTTTCATAAGAACTGTGACCTCAGACATGCATCCAAAATGATTTTTGAATAGATCAAATGGTTAATATTGGGTTTCATGATTGACCCGATTGGCTGTATTATCCCATAATAGCAAAAGGTTATTATAATTAACACCCCAGAATAAAGAAAATATCAATATTAATGATCTCTGTTTTAATTGTGTTTTAATAATAAAGCTTATCAAGCCACTTGTCCATCATCATCATGATTTGTTTTTTTTTCAACGTATTGGAAACTTTTCAAACACGTACCCACATACATGCGTTATCTTTAAGTTAAATAATCACATTTGTATTTATCTGAAATATCAAAACAGATTTTCCTGAATTAGAGTGAGTTTTTAGGGATGTTTTGTTCAACATTTCTTGCACACGTGGAAAAAAAGCTCTTCAATTTTTTATTGAGTCATGTCAAAAATGCAGCTTAATATTATATGGTATTAATATAGTTTATAAACCATCTAGTAAGGTTGATAAATTTAGTCTTTTTGTAGCTTTTATCAAGGAGCGATAGTCTGCCCCAGTTTACAGCGATGCAACTGCATAAGAAAATGCGTAGGTTGCCAGGTTTGTAAGTTAAATCCCCATTTAATGACAACTGCCTTGAATCCAACAAATGACAAAAATCGATTTCTCTAGAAAATAAAACAATGAAAGTGTAAACGAAAATGATAGAACTAATGTTTTGAATATGCAAAAGCACTAGTTTGGTTGCCCTTTTGTTTGAGATTTGGATTTAAAGTAGTTTTGATGTAAATTCAATTTACATACAAACGGAGTCGCTAAATTACAATTTAAAGCAGTTATTGTGTTTAGAGAAGTTGTGATCAAATAATTTATTTTGGCAGTGACCTAATTAGTTAAATAATAGGATCTAGCTAGCACCGCGGTGCTCTAAATCACAGGAAAGCTTTCTCTCTTTCTTTGAGAGGCAACGAACAGGACCTGGCAACCCAGAGACGCAATCTATGTCAATTGGAGCGAATAAAGGCCGCAGCCCATTTCTGACCGGAGCTTCTTTATTGTTTAAAATGCAAGGCTGAATTTAGCTTGTCTACGAACAGGGTTAATGATTGAATAGTATATTTATTTTTTAGCAGTTTTTGTGCTGATGTTTCTTCGTAGGCGTTGCTTGGTTACCGTTTTTCCTCGCTGTAGCTGCAGGTGTATGAGGTGAAGAGGGTTCAGGATGACGCCTTTCTCTTTCATCACTCGACTCGAAAATAAGACGCTTTAGAAAGGTTCGCCTCTTTGTCTTTCGGACGCTTTTTTTAAGATACTAATTTTAGAGAGGTGTAAACAAACCGGAGCCCGCCGCAATGACGATAGGTCCGTTTCCACAGCAGTCGCCATTATTAATAGACAATAATTAATTAGTGAGAGTTAATTGTTTGCAGGGGAAAGGTTTGGTTGGTCTGTAATGTGCTGCTTTAGGTTGTAGCAGACAGCTCCGTGTTCAGAATCAGTCGGTCACTGGGAGATTAGCGGCGGTGGGGACCAGGCTGGCTGTCTGTCTGTGGCAGATCTAATAAAGATGGTGTTTCGGAGCGAGGAGATGTGCTTGGCGCAACTGTTTCTGCAGTCCGGCTCTGAATATGACTGCATCAGTGAGCTGGGAGAGATGGGGCTGGTCGAGTTCAGAGATGTAAGTAAATACAACTGCCACGAGATGCCCGCACATCCATCCATCCACCCAGAGACCCATTTAACCATCCATCCATCCATCCATCCACCCAGAGACCGATTTAACCATCCATCCATCCATCCATCCACCTATCCGTCTATCCATCTACCCAGACACCCATTTAACCATCCATCCATCCATCCATCCATCCATCCATCCATCCATCCATCCACTTATTCATCCATCCATCTGTCTGTCTGTCTGTCTGTCTGTCAATCCATCCATCCATCCACAAAGAATATATACATTAGTTTAAAGTTTTCAAGTTTTGGAAAGTATGAAAAAGAATTTAGAAAAAAGTATGTATTTTCAGACTTTCTACTATGTCTGAAAGTTATATCCATCTATTTATACACCCTGTCAGTTTATGTATTTTGTCCATTTGTGGAAACCATCTTTTCCTACCAACTATTCATCCATCCATCCATTGTTTAGCTGTCTGTGCATCCACCCTCCTTCATTACATCTGGTTCTATTTTATCTATCTTTATACATTCTTAAACATCCACATTGTTATTGTTTCTTCTGTTATATACCCATTCTGATTTTTTCTTGGCTCTGATAAACTAGCTTTTTAACTTTAATCTTTATATTCTCTTATCAGACACTAATCCTTAAACCCCTGTGGTGCCACATAATTGTATTTCCACATGTATGCTGTACTGACACCTCGCCTGAATAATGATGCTTCTCTGATTTTTAGCTCAACCCCAGTGTCAGCTCATTCCAGCGGCGCTTCGTCAGCGAAATCAAGAGATGCGAGGAGATGGAGAGAATCCTTGGTAAGCCTGTGTGCCACCAGGGATGCAGAAACAGCCTGAGCATTACATCCTTAACAAATAATCATCTGTTTAGTAAGCAGTGAATCGCTGGCTGATTGTGTTGTTCTGTGTGATAGTCTCTGAGTGGACGTGATGCCTTATTCCTTCCTAAATGCTAATTTGATGAACCATGCAGGCTTCCTTTTGAGGGAGATCCAGAAAGCTAAAATCGCTGTTCCACAAGAGGACGAGAGCCCGCTTGCTCCTCCGCCCAGACAGGTCTTGGAGATCATGGCAAGTCTGCAGAAGTGCTTGTTTTTATCTTGACACTTTTTTAGATCAGATTTTAATTTAACTGCTAGGTTTCAGATTTCTGTCGCATCAGCCTCAGATTAAAATGAAGCCATTCAGTCTTGCCTTACACTTCACCTAAATATAGCAAGGGCATTCTTATTTTCAGTAACAGGAAGTGTTTTTTTGTACTCAATGGCAGCAGAGTAAATTTTTTTCTGCATTTTTTTCCCTTTTAAAATGACTATAGTTTTCAGGAGTGCAATGTAGCTACTGATAAAGCATTTGTTTTTAATGATTTATGTGGAAATATTAAAATTATACTGAGCTTTTAATGCAGCAACATAGGTGAGAAAACAAAGGCACATGTTAAGAAATAATGAGTTATTTGCCGGTACCTTTAGCACCTTTACAGTCATCCGGCATAACCTGCTTCTGCCAACACATCAATAGATGGTCATTGTGAAAGAACTGTTTGCAGAAATCTCCATCGTTTGGTCGTAGCTTTTTTTTTTCAGATATATCATTTTAACCTGACTGAAGATGTGGGGATTTAGAGTTTACACACTGCTTTAAGGTCCTGGATGTTTTTACTCTGAAATTAACGTAGTCCTTGTCCTGTTTGATACGATCATGTTATTCTGTTGCTGAATGTTTTGCTGAGCTTGGTCCTCTCTCTCTCACTAACGTCCAGGAGCAGCTTCAGAGGCTTGAAATGGAGCTCAGCGAGGTGGCAAAGAACAAAGAGAAGCTTCAGAGGAACCTCCTGGAGCTCACAGAATACACACATATGCTGAAGATCACCCGGACCTTCATACACAGCCGCTCCAGAGTGAGTGTTTTTCCAGTTGGAGTGCTTGTTTCTCCTTTCCTGACTTAAGATGACTCTGACATTAACTGGGATTGGTGCTGGCTTTACTTAACTATTGCTATTTTAGAGAGTAGTTAAACTATTTTTTTTATACTGCATCTTTTACTGATAAAAATCACTAAGTGCTTTACATGAATAAAAGGGATGATGTCTAAATAGTATGTATGGAGTTGGTGGACTGCAAAGTGGGTGAAAGGGATTTTCAGAGTCGCAGCCTGAAAAGCTCGATCTCTACGGGTCTTAAAATAGGTCCGGGGAACCACCAGCAGCATCTGGTTAGATGATCTAAGAGGCCGGGAAGAAGACAAGGGCGCCAAAAAGTCTGCAAAATGTTTTCAGGGCCCTGTCCATGGAGTGCCCTAAATGTCAAAACAAAAAAAAATCTTAAACTAAGATGAACAAGTAAGCAGCACAATCAGAAAATACCTGAGCTTATGTGGTCTCTGTTTTTAGCTGCAGTTTAAAACATCGCCACCACATTCTGAAAATGATCCAGGCATACATTGTTTAAACAAATGAAATGGCTGTTGCAGCTGAAGCATTGTAAATTAGAAGCACGTATAATCATTTCTCGTCCTGTTTGATACAAAACATCTTAAATCTGAGGTCTTTATTAGACATTTACAAGAGACAAGAGACAGAGAACTGTCAAAGAAAACCCCCAAATTTGTTGACATCTTCTTTTACAGAAGCTGATAAAATGGTCACATGCTGACTGATGACTGCACTGCGGGCAATGATCAGGGTTTCCATCAGACTTTTGGCTAGGAATATTTCATAGGCTGTACACCTTGGTGTTTCACATCTTTAGGCTTTGCGAGGCATAGGACGCTGTGGGGTATCCTCACCCTGAAAATGTTGAAATTTTGAGGTGGAATGCAGCTAACTTTATGTCTTTGTTACAAAACTACTTTTGTCCTGATTATGGGAAGGAAGTATGTGTGCTTGAATAAGGGTTTATATTTCATAAGGAAGACATGAGATAATTTTATGTACAATATTATGTTTCAAAGGTTAATTCAAACGATCCGAAAGTGTACTGCTACGTTCAAACTGTGGTTTTTAGCAGCAAAAAAGCTTGTGCTGCTTCGTTTTTTTAATGCTTGTACACATTAAGGTCATACGCACCCAAGAGCATCTTTTTTGCTCCTGAAGAACGTCCAGTAAAGTGTCTACAGATGCATCTGATGCTTCTGCTGCTCGTATTCATTGGCAGAGAGCAGCTTTGCTATATTTGCTGTGGTAATAATATATTGATAATAATATATTCTTGCTTAAATGTATTTTTAAGCGAGAAATTCCACCGCAAAGCATCGTCTGTGCAGTCAGTTCATTAAGATTATGAACCTGCCTTAAAATATTAGTTCGCTGTCGGAGCCTCACAGACCTCCACATAGCAACGCTGCTACTGTTTGTGGCAGTTGGAAGTAGATGTTAGCTTTTCAGGTATGTGATACAAACTACAAGCACCAGAATGATAAAAGCAAACATATTTTGCTGGCAGGTTTCGACATTTTAAGTTAATTTAAGTGTTTATAAACAGTTTCAGTGGAGTGGTCATATCGCTCTGCATGAGCAGCGCTGTCTGTATCCCTGTCAGAAATCAGTTTCTCTGATTGGTTGATGTGGCACGTTGAGCAGCAGAAGTTACATTTTTCCAACTCCAGCATCTGCTGCTTACAAAATTTTGAACATGTCAGTGAAGTTTCTAGGGATAAAAAAGGTTTTTTTTTTAGTAAAGGCCATACAATGTACAGCTGTAAACATTACTACCTAAAAGCTGAGTGGGAGCAATGATCAGGGTTTGCGTCTTCTTGTTGATATGCAGATTTTTCTCATTGAGCCACAGTTGGATTTCCAACGATAATTGGCTCAGTTCATGCAGTAACTATATGTAAATGAGACATTTCAAAGAAGCAGAACAACTGAATGTCATCAGCATACATGTAGCCAGACACATTTTTAAGTATTAAGTTTTCAGCCAAAGGATAAATATAAAAACAGAATTTATTTGTTAAGGTCCAATCATTGTGAAAGGCAGTGAATATTTAGAAACGGGAAAAAATGCACTAACTTTCTTATGTCAACATCTGCTTTTTTTAACTCTAGCATGAGGCCCTTGGTCCCCAGTATGAAGAGTTCCCCACTATGGAGACAGATGCAGTCGCTGGAGGCACTGGCATGCAGAGACTTGGAGCCAAGCTTGGGTGAGCTGTAGCATCAATTGTTTACTTCAGAGCAAATGACAGGATGGTAGGTAGCTCTAACTGTAAATAGACTCCTTAGTAAAATACCAGTTTCACATCTATGTAATAAAAAAAATTTTTTTTTTACAATATACAAAACGTAATATTTGTTTATTATTCATTTTCACAATATTTCTGTTCTGTTTTTATTGCTGATAAATTACTTAAGCTGTCGCCTTAGGAAGGTAGACTCAGCAGTTAACGTCCAATGACTATTTTCAGGCTAATTTTGACTTCTTGCCTGTCATTGGGAAGCAACAAGTAGGGGAGGGGCAATGTTTCGATAGTAGTTGTTTAATTAAGTGGGAGAAAACTCGTCTCTGTGTTTCTCTGGAAACTCGATAAAGCTCAGTAATGGTAACTGACCCATGCCTAGCCACTGCACCAGAGGCCATAGCGGTCCTGATCTGATCTCTCTTGGGTTCAGTTTTATTTCAGGACTCATCCAGCGGGTGAAGGTGGAGGCCTTTGAGCGCATGCTGTGGAGAGTTTGCAAAGGCTACACGATTTTAAGTTACGCAGAACTGGATGAGAGCCTCGCTGATCTGGAAACCGTGAGATATTTTTTTTAGAAAAGCTCCTTACTGCACAGTATGTCTGCTTTGCTGGTCATTGCTTTGAGTGAATTGTGTGATTTCAGGGGGAAATTAGCAAAAATGTTGTGTTTCTCATCTCCTTTTGGGGAGATCAGATTGGACACAAAGTTCAAAAAATCTGTGACTGGTAGGTAAGCTTTTCTCGTCTTATTTCTTACCTTTTAACTGCCCACGCAGGTTCTTGCGATCAGCATCTGTCCTTTTTGCTCCTAGTTACCACTGCCACTTATATCCACATCCTGAAAATGACGAGGAACGTGCAGATGTGTTGGACAGCTTAAGAACACGGATCCAGGATCTCAATAACGTAGGAGTTGTCTCTAGAGTGCGCAGTAACAATTTGCAAACTCTTTGGCTGCAATTGCTGTTGTCACCTGCAGGTGCTTCATCGCACTGATGACTATTTGAGGCAAGTCCTGCAGAAGGCAGCAGAGTCAGCTTACACCTGGGTTATGCAGGTGAAGAAGATGAAAGCCATCTATCACATCCTCAACCTGTGTAGCTTTGATGTCACCAACAAGTGTCTGATCGCAGAGGTATGGTGTCCCGTCAGTGACCTGGCAAACCTGAGAGGGGCGCTAGAAAAGGGTTCGGTAAGTCGCTTTAGGAAATCTAATAATCTGGTTCTATCAATGGCTTGTTTTAAAACAGATTGAAGATGTTGATGTGTTTCCTAGATATAAATGTGCTGTGGGTTTCATTAATAAAAGCATTTTTTTTGTGAGTAGCGACACACACTCCATGGCTGGAACAATTCATCCGATTAATCATGTGTAATCTGTTGTTAAAAAAACTATCAGCTGATTTGATTATCATATGATCATTTGAGTGAACAGACTCTACATGTAATTTGCTAAAAAACATTTCACTCAGTGATGCAGTTAGGCCAAAACTATATAAATCATGTGTACCTTTTACATTTAAGATGAAAGAACAGATTTTTTTCTGTTAGTATGCTCTCAGTTACGTGTTCTTTAACGCGTTTTATCATTTTACTATGCATTTAAAATGTGCAATAAATGTTCAAACACCTGTTTACTAAGACATGTCCATTTACTAAAAGCATCTCTGTTTAGATACATTAATTTAAAAAAATGCAAGATTAATCTATTATTAAAATAATGGACAGCTGCTGCCCTAATGTGTAATAAAGTAAAATACACCTAAAATTGTAAAATAAAGTGATCTTGCTGTCTAATTATGTCCAAAGCTGTTAGTTGATTTCGTGTTGTGATGCATGCGGTGTCAAAAAATGTTGTCAGCACAGCATGTGTTTACACATGTGTTTACTCCTTTGAACAGGAAGAATCACCAAATGGTGTTACTGGTACCAAAATAACTTAAAGGACCTGCTTGTTTTTTACTTTTGCTTCATTTTAGCAATATATAATTTATCTTCTGTCAGAACTAGAGGTTCTTTGAATGTTTAAAAGAGGTTCGATAGTAAGACATTAAATATGCATTTATGTAAATGCATGTTTTCACAATGGAAACGGTTTGAACTGTTTGTAGCTTTTCTTCAGTAGCTTTATTTTATTGCTTTATCTAACTTGGCGACACATTGGAGAGCTTTTTACTGGAGATAAAACTAGAAGAAAAAAGAAGACATGAGTGTCTTTAAAAGTTAACCTACCATGAACAACTAAGTCGTTGAATCCTGTTTTTGTTTAAGCTGCGCAGTGTGTTTTCTGCTGTTAATGAATGCCACATCTGTTTGGTGAAGGTTATTGTTTGACCCTCACATGAACTGTATGTCTTCTTTCACATGGAAGAAGCTGGAAGCAGAGAGGCTTTATTCCGGTTTTCTTTGACCTTTGGACCTGTTTTTTCTAATTTTATGTGATTATAAAAGTGTTGATTTCTAAGAACTAGAAACAGGCAACAAAAATTTTCTACAGGTTCTTTGATAGAGGTAGCCTTTTGAAATCAACAGAAAATTGGTTAATTAGAGAGCTATCTCCATTGTGACTCATCGTTTATTGCAAGCCTTTTTCAAGTTTGTATTATACTAAAAAAAGTACACGAAACTGTACTGTCCCTTGAAGCATTTATGGACAAAAAATGATGGAATTTTTGTGGCTTAGAAGTATTTAATGGTCTTTGGCTGACTCAGAGGTGCACTTAGTTAGAGATTGATCATCTACAGTGTTTTTAGTATTAAGTATATAACTCTTTAGAGTCATCTTGACTTGTTGCTGCTAAAATATTGCTTTTATTTTTTAAATATTGGTGCCTTTGGTTCTTTGATATCTTAGTGGTAGTCATCTCTTAGTAAACAAGTTCCTAAAATCTATTTTAGGAATAAAAAAATATATATAAACTTTTTTTCTATTCATAGAAATATTCATTCATGTGAGTTAACAGAAAAAGAGAGATATTCAATATTTATTGTAAATGGAAAAGTCCTGGACAGAAGCATCATGCATCAGTATTGCATGTTTTTGTATTTTTTTTTTTTGGAGGTGGGGTGATGGGGGGCATTTCTGCCTAATTAGACCAGCCATATTCATTTAGATAAAATGTTCCATCATAAACACAACAAGAACTTCTCACATCAGATCAACTCTGCAGGTGTGGAGTTTCTCAGACAGCCTGCCAGATGGGGTTTCCTTGGTTTCTATTATTTATCAGCAGGGCTGCACGTCTTCACCAACTCCCTCACTGTTTCCCATTCATGTATTTTTCTGATCAGAGAAAAGGCGACGCCACTGTACCTTCATTTGTAAACCGCATCCCGAGCAGCGATACCCCACCAACACTTTTAAGATCCAACAAGTTCACTGCTGGGTTTCAGAGCATTGTGGAGGCTTATGGGGTGGGGGACTATCGCGAGGTAAGCCCAGGTAAGCCATTGTTTTACTGAGGAATAGTGACGTTTACCATGGTCCCTCCTGCCCCTTCCCTTTAAAAAAAAAAAAAAAAACAACCTCACTTTGTCTTTTTGTTGCTTTTGGCAGCTCCTTACACCATCGTCACATTTCCCTTCCTGTTTGCCGTGATGTTCGGAGACTTTGGCCACGGGTTGATAATGAGCCTCTTCGCCCTGTGGATGGTGCTGACAGAAAAAAATCAAAAGAAGAAGCGTTCTAGTAATGAGGTGAGCATGAATCCTCATTTTGATCCAGAGTGAAGTTGAATTATTGCCATTTTCTTCATTTAAAACCTCCCTTTTGATCCCAGATATGGATGATGTTCTTCCATGGGCGATACATCATCCTCATGATGGGGCTCTTCTCCATCTACACCGGACTCATTTACAATGACTGTTTCTCCAAGTCTGTAAATATATTTGGGTCCGGATGGAGCGTCAAGGCCATGTTCACCGATCAGCAGTGGACGTAAGTGTGACATTGAACTTTTTCACAAAAGACAGTGAACAGTTGATTTAGTATTTAACCAGAACCATCACATTTTCCCTTTTTTTTTGTCATTTTAGAAACAAAACAATCCAAACAAACGCTTTGCTCACATTAGACCCTAATGTCAGCGGTGTATTCAGTGGACCGTACCCATTTGGCATTGATCCTGTGAGTAAATACACTCTAAAGGCTGTAGTCAGCACAGAAAGCAGCTTGTCTTGTTAACTTAGGTGCTTTATTATTGTTCAATCAGATATGGAACCTGGCAGTGAATCGACTGTCCTTCCTCAACTCCTACAAGATGAAGATGTCAGTCATCATTGGCGTCATTCACATGAGCTTTGGCGTGGTGCTGAGTGTCTTCAACCACTTGTAAGAGTCTTTAAATGTCAATTTTACTCATAGAAAGAGAACAATTTGTTCGTGAATCCTTAGCCATTCAAGGCGTTAATGCCAGTTATTCTGGGTTACGGTCTCTATGGTTAGTGGGAAACAATATAAGATGTTGTGCAAAAAATATTGAACTGAATAAAAACAATCATTTAGCTGAGCTTTCACCAAGTTAATCAAGGCTTGTTGGTACAATACAATGCTCACCTGCATGCATGAATTCGCCCTACATGCTTTTGTGGCATGTTATCATTACAACTGCTGTCATTGAGCTATTATTCTAAAACCTTACTGTTTACATTTTTTTTTTTTTTTTATAGAGATTCGGTTTCATAATAAAGCCAAGATAAGATTATCACAGTTGGGAAGCCGTGTCTAACTCAAGGTTTAGCTCAATGTGATGTGGCAATAGAGTCTTGGCCAGAGTGTGGCCTATTAAGAAGTCTGCAGAAAAAAATGTTTTAAAATGACCTCATTCTGATTTTTAAAGTGTTTTTAGCTCAGATTAGACTTGAACAAAACATGGAGATTAAACAATGTATGTTTAATCTCCATGTTTTTGACAAATAAATGCAAAAGGTGTCTTGGTGTCTATTTTACTCTGGCACCCCTATATAAAATGCAGACAATTAATCGGCATAAGTCAGTAAATTTGTATACGGAGAGCAACTGTGTCATTTTCATTCATTAGTGCAAATGCAGCTGTTCTTCAAAAGCCCTAGAGGTTTGTTAGTTATAATTGGTAAGCAAACACCTTCATGAGAAGCGAGGAACACACCGGAACATATCATAACACGTTGTTGTGTGGTAGCATAAACCCCAGAGAGATTATTATACAGGAGAATATTTGCATCTCTCTGCTACAATTCAGTACAACATATGGTCTGCAAAATATGGATACTTTGATCCCCCCCTACTTCTTATTTATTGTTCTGGAACATGTCTTTAAATTGATTTTTGTAACCCTTTGTCATTCCAATCAATACTCCAATAATTGAACACGTTTTATTTATTTCAGTATCTTCTCCGTTCCTTTTCAGGCATTTCCGGCAAAAGTTCAGCGTTTATTTGCTGTTTCTTCCTGAGCTGCTCTTTCTGCTCTGTCTCTTCGGCTACCTGGTCTTCATGATTCTTTACAAGTGGTTGGCCTTCAGTGCACGAAACTCCAGCCAGGCTCCTAGCATCCTCATTCACTTCATCAACATGTTCGTCATGCAGGGGAAGGATATAACTCCTCTGTACCTGGGACAGGTATGTGCCGAAATCATTTTCTCATCAAGTGATCCTTCAGTAAAACTCAACGTTTATCTTTTTGGTCTTGTTTCACAGACCGGGCTTCAGATATTCCTCCTTTTGATTGCTGTGATGTCCGTTCCAGTATTGCTCCTGGGAAAACCTCTTTACTTGTACTGGCAGCACCGTGGAGGCAAAGGCCTGCGAAGACGCAGAGTAAGTCCTGTCACAGCCTCTGGACTCTCCTAATTCCACGCACAGGGCTCAATTGTACCTTTTTGGCTCACCACAGGGTTATGAGAGGGTGAGGCGTGTAAGTGAGGATGATGGTTCTATAACATCCATTCATGAGGAGGATGAAGAGGAAGGATTTGACGAACTAACCAACAGAGAAGCGCCTCCTAAGCAGGTCAGAGAACAGTGACCCTTTTCTTTGTGTCTGTTTTTTTTCACCCACTCTTAACAATTTGATGCTGTTTGCACATTAAGAGGGAGAAAGAGCAGCTGCAGAACAAGAAGCAGTTGATTGAAATTTGATATCATGTGAACTTTGAATTGGATGTAAAACACTGAGAACACAAGACTTGGATAACCCTAATCAGATTTCTATTATAAGAATTGGGTTAATATCTAATGTGCTGTTTTGTAGTTTGACTTTGCAGATGTGCTGCTGCATCAGGCGATCCACACCATAGAGTACTGCCTGGGCTGCATTTCTAACACTGCGTCTTATCTCCGTCTCTGGGCGCTCAGCTTGGCTCACGCCCGTAAGTGAAACCAAGGAAATAAAGTCACCTGTTTTCTTCTGCCGACTCTTTCTTTGTCTCCATTTTAAATGATTTTTTTCCCACAGAGCTGTCAGAGGTGCTGTGGTCCATGGTGATGCGCCTAGGCTTCAGGATCACCACTAAAGTTGGGGTGGTGTTTCTGGTGCCTGTGTTTGGCCTTTTCGCCACGCTCACTGTTTCCATCCTGCTGGTCATGGAGGGTTTATCAGCGTTCCTCCATGCATTACGTCTTCACTGGTGAGTCTGGACAGCTTAATCACAAAGTAGCATTTATAGAATACTGCTGTAAAACGTGCAAGACGCATAAAGCTGAATAAGAATGCACCAAGAAATCGACAGGCAAGCAGAATCAGCTCGTATTTGGTTGAAAGGTCAAAAATTAAATCTGTCGCTGAATGCATCCCATTTAAACATTAAAAGGTCTACTACACGACTCTGTGGCATTGTATTTAAATATTTTTTTTATAAATCAAATTTTGGATTCTAGAATGCCCTGGAAATTACCAGTAGTGAATTAAACTGTGCTCTTCAATAAATTTTGGTTTATTTATACAACGCCATTTTACAACACATGTCATCTGAAGGCACTTTCAGTCAATTTAATCAGATCATACAGTCAGATTGGTTTAAAGTTTTCTATCTAAGAAAACAAGCTGATTGCATCAAGTTATTGGCTTGACCACAGTCCCTCATACAGCGACAGTGGAGAGAAAAACACCCTTTTAACAGAAAGAAACGTCCAGCAGAACCAGGCTCAGTGTGAGAGTGCAAGCAGTCTGCAGAAGCGGACTGGATGAGCGTGAAAAAAGTGTTAATATGTTTTTTGAATTATAGAATTCAGTCCCTATTTTCTATCCAACCATCTATTTACCTGCCATCCATTTATCTGTCCCCATCCTTCTGTTTGTAAGGTTTTTATAGTTTTCATAATTAAAGCCTGACTGTCATTTAATGTCTCAAAAAACATAAGAGAGAGCTTTTGTAATTGTACATCAGCGCTTTAAGGCAATGATTCCCAACTGGGGGTACATATACCCCTAGTGGTCTATGAGTGCATTGCAAGGGTAACATGAAAACATTTTATTTCTTAGGTAGTAAAATAAAATAGGGCTGAATCAGTATTCCTTTGAAGGGCCCAATTGAAAAATTAAACGTTTATCAATCAAAAAGTATGCTTTTCTTATGTTTGAGAAAAACAAAACCAAGTAGAGGAACAGACTAGATGTAGGGAGCAGCCTGGTATCAACTGTTTCACACTGAGCTATTGGAGCTCATCAAATTAGTTCAGGTGTCTTGATGAAAACAAAGTAAAACTTATTAAGTCAGTCTGTCTATAATTTTTGTTCTGTATTTTGTTGCCAATTATTCAATTTTAAATGTGATTATAAGGGAGTTAACCAGAGGAGCACCTGTTTTATAAATACAGGTTTAAAATATGATTTTATTTTGTATTTTTTGCGATTCCATACCAACCTCCAGGCTACATACTTATGTAGTTTTTTTTTTCTTATTTGAGATGGAAAGATTACAATGACTTAGAATTAAATGCTCATGTTAGAAGATTTAGTAAAGTAGTTGTTTTTTTTATAATCAGTTATTGTAAGTTCCACTTTAAGACGATTATCAATTGACTATGAGGGGTACACATGGTAAGATAAAATGCCCAAAGGGGTACACGGCTCAAAAAAGGTTGGAAAACACTGCTTTAAAGGACAATCTAGGGAAAAGATTATGTTTTTTTCTTTTGTGTTCAGTAACTTTCTTATGAACTTTTATTCAGCCCTCATTAAAGTAGTATTGGTTGCTTTTCTGTTTGATCCCAGGGTTGAGTTTCAGAACAAGTTCTACCACGGCACCGGTGTCAAATTCCTGCCCTTCGACTTCGCCCAGCTGCCGTCAGTTTTTGAGCAGGATGGTTTGCTTTAACCCCCCTAAAGCAGTGGATGTGAGATTAAGCAGACTCTACAACTGTGAAGGTTTTGTGCGCGTTGGAACGATTAAACCTGTGACGACAACAACAAACCCTCAAGACTCTGAACTGAAACTAATTCCTGTAGCAAAGTTTCTCAGCTTGATGGGTTTTTAAAAGCTATCGGCTTGTGCTGACTGCCTTACTACTGTACCCAGCACACCTCTGAAGAGACAGAGGTACAAACATTGTTGCTTTTGTTTATCATGTCACTTATTGGATGAGTTACTTCTCAGCACATTCTGTCACCAGCTGAGGGATTTTTAAAATGTAATTTATTTGCATTGTATGGTGTAAGATGGGTTTGTATGCTTGCTCAAGTCAAAACCACAAGCAGTGCCATAGAGATTTAGTAAAGGGATGCCATTTTATCTTCTCCGTGTAATCAAGCTAAAGCTGCAGGCATCCAAAAATCAAAGACACAATAAAACATTTCAACCCTTTACTGATATTTCTTTACCATAAAGCACTTTGCAGAAATGATTGTACAATGTAAAGTTCTCACTACTGACTGTGATGATGCCAAATGAAAATAGTCACCTGTTGCTTTCTGCGTATTTACTTATTAACTCATTTATTTAATCTTATGCTCCCTTTGGTATTAATAAAAGAAAGCATTAACATGATCCAAAAAAGCTACAAAAAAAAGTTAGGTATTTCTTTAATTATACAGCTGATTGCATTTGTTAATGATAATTCATGATATTTATCTATCTTACTGTCTGTACAAGAGTAATATTTTAACATTTTAATGTGTCAAATAAAAGTTTTGACGGACGCAAATGAAAAAAATGTTTTGTTGTTATTGATCATAAATACAGCCCGGTCCTTATCTCTTTAATACCAGATGGTCACCTGGCCAGGTACACCTTAAGCAGGATGGCTGTTCATCACAGTCTAGCAACAGCACTACCCCAGAGAGTCGCCTATTCACAGGCCATTTGGAATCAGTGAAGGTCTATGAATTCAGTTCTCTCCCATCATGCTTCAGTCCCCATAAGATGCTTTTCAATATATCAAAACATTTACTTTTACACCTAACTCAGCTGGAGTTTTTGTACATTAAATGTTCTAGATGACCAGGATGTAATTTACTTTTCAGAAGTTGAACATGTGCAAAGGAAGCAGTTTTTGATAGACTTCAGTACTAGATTTAAGCTTGACAGTTTGCCAATCAATGCCTTATATGTCTACAGCTGGCAACAGAAGTAAAGGACCAAGATGAAACGCTTCGAGGATAATAACCCTCTACATTTTATTGGTTACTCTTCCTTCGTTTAGAGTGAAAATTTCATCTTCCTTGTTTTAAAGTAATTATTAGTTCTGTGTATTGATTATAAAACAGAATAGTTGACTTTAAAAATCAGTAAGTTTGTGGTAAACAGAGTTTAAAGGTTATTTCTGTTGACATTTGGCTTGATTTAAAATGGGAAAACAGTGACCTCTAGTGGTTATATTGCTGCAGTTCAATTCAAAGTCAGATTAATCATTAGATTAATTTATGGATTTCAATTTAGTTATCATAAATTTTACTTATTAATCAAATAACATGGATGCTGGGTCATTCATAAGATAATATGCAATCTAAAAAAACCAGAATATTTATATTACTAATCATACAGGCCTTAGCTTATAGTTCTATTGTCTTTCCATGCCTTTCATTGGAAAGTGGTGATTTTTAAAAAATCAGTCCATGTAGCACATGAACTGATTGTCCTTTAAAGGACTGAGTTCAGTCCTTTGTACAGTCAATGTACCTGGACCATTTCAGGGGAATATTTGTGTAAAAATACACATAATGTTGAATAAAAACCATTAATTGTGATTTGAAACATGGCATATATAAATTAAGGCAAGTTTATTTATAAAGCATAAAATCCTGTACTTGGGCTGTGGGAGGACGGGGGAATAGATTCCTATGGTATAGAGTATGATGAATTATTAAAGAGAATGAAAATCACATCAAATTAAAAATAATAGGTAAACCATGTAAAAAAAAATATACATAAATACAGTGTGTCCATTGATTTAATATTTAGAGTTTAGATTTCCTATTAAATAATGTGAAATAACAACCAAGAAAAGTATGACTGGCAGCAACTTCTTCTTTACCCTCGGTGTCATCTTAAGGACAAGGATATGAAAAACACATGATGGAAGAAGATTGTTATTGGAACAGCTATTCCAGAGAATGAAGCTCAACAGTATTGAAGAAGGAAGGTACACCATTCAAATCAAATCTTTCATACTGGATGTTTCAACCTTAAACTGTGCTGTATTTTATTAGATTAGATAGAAACCAGAGCATATTTTTAGAAAATTCGAGGGGAAAAGTGATCTTTGCTCAGCAGAGAATATTTGCATTGAATCTCAAATTTTCTCTTTGAGAAAGCATATTTTTTAAATATGCTCTCTCAACTTCACAAATTCTACTCTTTGCAAAGACGTTTAATCTCAAATTGGAAGGGCATCATTCGGGAAACTTAATTTTCAAGTCTTGCTTAAAATTTGCAGATGGGACTTGGGCCCCAACTTTGACTGGAACATCCTGATCATTAAAGACTGTAGCTCTGATTGCATGCTAAGGTGAACCTTTCCCCTTAGTCTCAAGCCTTTTGCAGCCCTAACATGCATTAAAAAGTTCCAAATTTAAATGCATATAACTTCATCCATCTGCTAAACCATTCTAATTAGATTTCCTGTTTCTGCTCAAAAGATCTTTGGACAGTACTGTCAAAAATTCACCAACAGTCTTGTCTGACTTGTAGTTACCGTTTTCAGATTGTCTGCTGTTTCCCAGACATGCCTTGCATCAAGCTGTAAATGAAGCTTCTGATTTTTCTCCATAAATGTCTGTCAGTCTCTGAAGCTCATCCAGATTGTTCAGTTTGGGTGTTTAGGTAGGTTGGTAAAAAAAATGTGTAGCCTTTGAATTAGTCACAGATTTAGATGAATGTGAGGCTAGATCAGGGGGTGCGAACCTGCAATCCCAGAGTGGCTCTTTGGAATAACCTATCAAAAAGTGAACTATTGCCCTGTTTGGTGTGTTTTATATTATTTATTAGTATTATATCACCTTGGTAAATTTGATTTAGAAGCACCTCTGTTCCTGTTTGTTTGTTTTGGATTTAATATGGTTTTCCTGATGGTAGAAGGTAGTGTTGCACCGATACCAGTATCGGAAACCAGTATACTGCACTAAAATGGAGGTATCGGTATCTGCTAGTATCGACAAAAGGACACAAATACCATTTTGAGAGTCAAAAGTTTATTCACCTATTGTCACCCATTCCAGGTAGGCGATAAAAAGTTCTACTGGATTCACTTTGTTTTAGTCTCTTTCCTGCTTCACAAAGGTAGGCAGCAGCTTGACAAAGCCATGATGGCAATTATTTTACATCCAAGTACTATGCAGTTCTTCATATATATGCACACACATCAATTTCAAACAGATGGTATCGGTATTAATCGACCAATACTGTACAGCCAGGTATCGGGACCAAAAAATGGCAACACCAGTAGAAGGGCAAACCATGCATTGGTTGGGTAGTAGGGGTGTAAATAATAATCGTTTTGTATCGATGCATCGATCCAACAGCTGACAATCCGAAGCATTGACACATCCGCAAGAGTATCGATTCATGTTTTTTTTTTTCTCTCTGGTCTATTTTTATCCATTTGCTCCTGGATGTAATTCTGACTCCTGTGCTGCAGTGTCTCTAACCCTATTTTGCCTTCCTACCTCTCTTCCTTTAGCCACTAACCTCTTTCTGCATGCACACACACACCTGGACACAGAGGGAATATTATTGTTCAGTGAATGAGGTTTTCATAGGCCTAGGTGGAGTACAGCTGTGCTACTTCTGTTTTTTTGTTATTTCTAAAATAAAATGCATAACAATATTACAGCTTTCATTTATTTATTTCAAATTGGAAACATTGTCTGGCCTGTAAGGTAAAAAAAAAATCGAATCGTATTGTGGTGTATTCTTGAGTATCGGAAATAATTGAATAGTTGGGTCAGGAAATTGATACTGAATCAAATCGCCATGATGGGTGTGATTTTCACCCCTATTGGGTGGAATCTGTACAAATGCATCCAGCCCTTTTGATCAATCAAGTCCAGATCTGGTTGACTTCATCCCACAATCCCCTTGNATCAAACCGCCCTGATGGACGTGGTTTTCACCCCTATTGGGTGGAATCTGTACAAATGCATCCAGCCCTTTTGATCAATCAAGTCCAGATCTGGTTGACTTCATCCCACAATCCCCTTGTTAGTTTTTAGTTAATTTTGTTTGATTCTTAAATCTGTGAAATTAGTAACATTTTCAGAGCAATTGGAGCTGAACACAAACACCTGCTACAGTTCTATTTTTTATTAAATAAAAATAAAATTAAAAAACCATAAATTTTCCTTCTTCTCCTGCACTGGTTTCTGCAGAATAACATGGTTGTTGGTGTTTTAATGTGCTGAAATGTAAAAAGATGTGCTGCTGTGCAACTATTTTGTAGATCAAAGCAGAAATCGCAGGAAATGCCATATGTCAAACACTCGCGCGCGCGCACATGAGGAGGAGGAGGGGGTGCATCCATAAGCTACAATCCTGTAATAAGGACGTCATTCTGTTCTGTTTTTCTCTTTTTTTCTACAAGCTTCATCAGCATTGCATTACAGTGCAGTGTTTGCAGTTTTGAATTCCTTTCTTCTAAAAACATTAGCGTCACATATATATAAAAATATATATATTATATATATATATAAAGAGAGAGAGAGAGGTTTTTATTTTTAAGTGGGTCCGCCTCACTTCACAGAGACAGAAACAACTGCAGGCTACCATCCTTCTGTGTGCTGCTAGCTAACGGTCCAGCTGTTTCCAACTCCTCACTAACTGCACCGTCTCTTCGTCCGTCGAGCTGGAGGGACGCGAACAGCTGATAGGGAGCAGATGAACGAGCTGGTGAAAAGCTTACCCTCCCCGACCCTCCCCGGGCTCCAGCTGCCGTGTCTGGACACCCACAGAGGCTGGCTCTTCAAATGGACCAACTACCTGAAGGGCTACCAGCGGCGGTGGTTCGTCCTCAGCAACGGCCTGCTGTCCTACTACAGGTAACAACACGGTGTTTACTCACTTGGATTGAAGCTATTATTAGCATCGTTTTTATGAAAGATTGTGTGATTTATTTTACTATCATTATTATTCGTTTTAAGGAATGAAACTTTTGTCGTTTCTGGTTGAATTTACAGGGCCGGTTAAAGTGGGGCCAGCAGGGGCCAGTGCACCTGTAAAACTGGCCCCTGTGCTGTGCTGAAGATATAATATTAAGTATATATTAGGGCGGAAACAATCGGATAAATTGAGATTAATTGATTATTGAAAGAATTGTCAACAAATTTAGTAACTGATTAATCAGTATAGAAACTCTAAAACAGAGGTCTTCAACAGGGGGTCAACGACCCCTAGGGGGTCCACGGAGGTACTGCATGGTTGATTAGACTTTTTTTTTTTTTTATATATTCCCCCTGCAATTTTTTCCACAAATTGAAATGTCTTTAAATACACCATCCATCCATCTTCTAACACGCTTTGTCCCTGCTGGGTTTGCGAGGGGTGCTGGCGCCCATCTCCAACAGGCGAGAGGCGGGGTAAACCCTGGACAGATCACCAGTCCATCGCAGGGCAACACAGAGACAAACAGGGCATACAACCATTCACACACACACTCACACTTAAGGAAAAGTTAGAGAAGCCAAATAACCTAACAGTCATGTTTTTGGACTGTGGGAGGAAGCCGGAGTACCTGGAGAGAACCCATGCATGCTCAGGGAGAACATGCAAACTCCATGCAGAAAGACACCGGGCCGGGAATCGAACCCAGAACCTTCTTGCTGCAAGGCAGCAATACTACCCACTGCATTAACATGAATTCAACAAACTGTATTAAACAGATAAATGGAGGCAGAAGATGTATTTCTGTCTTCAATGCACACATTCAGTGACACACAGGAGATCTTTCAAGTTGGGCACCACTTCATTCACAACACCTGTCCCATCAACCAGGAATCAGAATCAAATACTTTAATAATCAAAAAGGGGGGAAATTACTTTCGTTACATGATTCCATCTGTAATAGAAAGACTATAGAACCTGTTCTATATAACACAATTTCACACAATATATATTATTAGTGTCATGATTTAACTAAAGATCAGACCCAAATGCAGAAGACCAGGGAAAAGTTTAACAGGTTTATTTAGAGCAAGTAGAGAGGAGTACAGTGCTGCTCTGAACATTGTTGAACCGGGACTGAAAAGAGAAGGGGAAGATTCTGCGGTTAGTTCAAGCTCAGTGGGAAATTTGTGTTTTCTTGATTGAAGAAGGGAATTAAGGTTGCAGACACAGGTTTCCAGAAAAAGGCATCTCTTATTGAATCCAGTTGGTGTGGGTTGTTCCAGTGAATGACTTGTTCGTTGGAGGGCGGACAGGGTTTACCCAGATTGCGGTTGTTCCTTGGTGAACGGGGAAGCTGACTGCCACTTAGTTTTCCTGCGGTAATTGAACGGGTTATAATGGTGATGAATCCCCTGCTCAGTGAGAATCCCCAAACAATCCTCGAGGGGCAAAGTTGACCCAAACCACAAACTTGAATCCTCAGCTCAGTTTGGTGCTCAGAGAATCCTTCCAGGGGAGAGAAGGTCCGAAACATCCAATTTGCAGGATGACTTCCTGCCGAGAGGCAAAGACAAAAACAGCTAGGTTAAAACTCAGATAGACAAAAACTCAGTTTGACTCAGCAAAACTCTGCTTAGCTAGAGTTCCCAAAACTGGCAAACACTCTGGCGTTGAGGTAGTGGCAGTCAGCAGCTTAAGAGTCCTCAGGTAATGAGGCAACGAGCTGCAGGTGTGCAGGGAGGCCCAGTGAGGACGGGGCACCACCTGGTGGAGGAGAAAAGGAAACACAAAAACAGACCACAAAAACTGGATTCCTGACAATTAGGGGGTGCCCGAACCATCTCGCCATCAGTTTGGGGGCCCTTGGCCTGGAAAACCTTGAAGATCCCTGCTCTAAATCATGCCTTTTGCTGACAGAGCAACCCATTTAGAGGAGTAATTATACCAAAGTTGTAAAAAAAAGAAATATATATATATATATATATATATATATATATATATATATATATATATATATATATATATATATATAACGTATATAAATGTTTTGTATTCAAGATTAAAAAATATATATATATCCTCTGTCAATATGCTCTATCTAGAACTCCTCGAGTGGAAAAGTTTTAGTTTCACCTGGTTTAATTTCATAAAGAAAAGTCTTCTTAAAGGAACCTTTGGCTATCTGATAATTAATTGATTAATAAAGAGTAAAATGCAATCAAAAGATTAATCGATTTGGGAAATAATTGTTAGTTGCAGCCCTAATATGTTTCATATTAAATTCACTGACATAGAAACCAAAACTGAACACTTGGATCTATTTCATTTTGTTTACCTTTACAACAGTGTCAGTGCTAGATCAAATTTACAAGAGGTTAGGGGATAGGATGAAAGATAAAAAAAAAAAATTAAAAAAAACAGGCAGGAGGACATCATTCTGTAGATCAAGTGAGCCACAGACCCAATGTTTCAGGACCCGATCAACCTTCCATCCATTTTCCATCACGCTTATCCCAAGTGGGGTCACGAGGGGTGCTGGTGCCTATCTCCAGCTGTCAATGAGTGAGAGGCTGGGTACACCCTGGACAGGTGGCCCGTCCATCACAAAGCAACACGGAGATAAACGGGACAAACAACCATTCAAGCACACTCTCACACCTAAGCACAATTTAGAGAAGTCAGTTATTCTAACAGTCATATTTTTGGGCTGTGGGAGGAAGCCAGATTACCTGAAGAGAACTGAGAGAACAGTGTGTGGATCAATAAAAACTCATCTTAACTGCACAAGATAATGCTTTAGAATATAAACAAAAGGTTTAAAGCATTTACATCCATGTTTACAATCTGTTTTACATCTAAATATCAGCTGAGAGGACAGCTCCCCAAAATTAAGAATTTGTGACTACCCCCTGCTTTTTATCAGCTATATCTGGGGTCAATTGGCTTTTTGTCTCTATGGCTCACTGAATATATCAAATATGGAACTATTGCCTTTTTTTTTGTTCTGAGTGCACATGAAGAAACACTGGCCTTGTATGCCTTGGTAAATTTGTTCTATTACCGCCATTTGTCCCAACCCAAGTCTCTGTTTAATTCTCTGTGTGATGCTTTTAAAAAAGAACATATAAACTCCTCTTGTCCTGCCTGTTATCAATAGCTTATATAGAATTATAGCAATGCAAAATAAAAAATGAGAAAACGCTAATGTCTTACTCCTTGGTTTTATTCCAAATATAGAGTTTGAATAATATAAACAATATATCCAGGGGCTGAATGATTAAACAAATTTCATTATTTCCACCCAAAAAAAAAACATTTTTTAAATTAAAAAGTCATCTTTTATTGAATTTTGATATCAATATAATTTATCAATATAATTTAACTAGTTTCTGTAGCACCTTTCCTTCCCTTTAAACTTTTTAAACAACATTAAAAACAATTGTCACCAGATATATTGTGCATTAAAAGTCTCAGAACGTTTTGCTTAAATATTTGTAATTAATTTTTATCAAGGCATATGTTTGCAACAAACTAGGTCTGCAACTAAAAATCATTTTGTTTGCTAATCGTTTAATATGTAAATAATTTTTTTGATTTATCGTTTTCTAATTGTATAGCAAGATTTTTTTTTACAGAATTTAAAGCAAGTGAAAGTAAAACTTTTCCACATCAAGGAGTTTTTGATAGAACATATTGACGGAATGCAAAATGTTTATATATTTTTTTTACATTTTGGTATAATCACTCCTCTCAATGATCTCCTCTGTCAGCTAAAGGGATGTTTTAGGGTCTCTATACTCCAGTTAACGATTAATCGATTACTAAATTAGTTGATGACTTTTTCAATAATCAGTTGATCACGATTAATACATAACAGTACATATATAATGCTAATGAATAACATGTTATTATATATATGTGCTGTGAAACACACAGGTACAACTTTGTGTGTGTGCTGATGTCAGTGACAGATAACACATAGCATAGTGGTTACATCACTATGCCATCCATTTTGCATCTAATAGCCAAACAGCATCATTATAATGGTTGAGTTCCCAGAACAGCGGCTCTCATTCGTACAATTAAATGCCTTTACGTTCAGAAAACAAAAACAATCGGGCTCCATTTTAAACTAAACAACAAAAAAAGAATGATCTTTTATCTCCTGCATCCCAGCAATGCTTCTGTTTTCAAATTCTGATATTACCACACTTCAGATCCTTTAAAAAAAAATTCAGATCTATTATATTCTCCTCACGACAAATCATATTTCACAAGACCTTCCAACAAGACCTGTTACTTTGATTTATATTATTTTGACATATTCAGATTAAATTATTTCAATATAAAAAATGTGATCATATTTAAAACACAAAGCTGTGAAAGTCAGTTGGTTGCATAGTAAGTTGGTAACAGATCATCCATCTAAGGACGCATGCGGTGCCAGTGCTATCTGATGGTTCCCTTTATTTATATTTTATTGTCTATTTAACAGATTCAATTTTTACAAACTATAATAATAATTTAACTATTGATCTCACACTAGAGAACTTTACCTTTGAATTTAACCCATCCCCTTGGGGAGCAGTGGGCTGCCATTGTGCAGCTCCCGGGGAGCAGTGTGGGCTTGCTCAGAGATCCAGAGTGCAGGCTGTGGGGATCGAATCGGGTACTTGAAACCTTCTCAGAGCACAAGCGCACTGCTCTAACCCACTAGGCCATCACTCAAGAAGGAAATGCAAAGCCAATATTAAGACATTAGGTTTTGAACAAGTAAACAAAAGTAACAGAAAAAAAAAATAATTTAAGTAAAATTGTAGCTTTGAACCGGGGTGTAGTATGAGTAATATTAAGTAGTCTTAATGACATTGCTTTCATTCTTGTTCCCCCTACATTAAATAAACATCAAGCCCCTAAACAAAATCCGTTTCATGTTGCTTTATATACTTAATTCATCCTCTGATGGCTCCCTTTAACATAAGGAAACCTTCAAAAGAAACAGTCTACTTCTACTGTTACTGACTAAAAACAATCCTAGGGTTCATTAATTGGGAGGGAATGCAGTACACAGAGCTATTAGCCACAAAGGCTTAATTTGTGGTTCCCTTGAAGAGAGAAACACAGCTAAAAGAGGCACTCAGCTAGCAGGCTTAGTAAATACATGTTAAAAATGCCCATATTGACTTAAACTGACTTAATCTGTTTTCAGCACATATTGTTACTTTTCTCTCTCAAAAATTCTACTAAAATCTTAATCTATATTTTTGTCTTTCTTGCAGGACTCAGGCAGAGATGGCACACACTTGCCGGGGCACTATTCCCCTGGCAAAAGCTCACATCGAGGTGGGTGACACCTGTCACTTTGTGTTAACCAGCGGAGGCCGAAGCTACCACCTGAAGGCCACATCGGAGGGGGAGTGTCAGAGATGGGTGTCGGCCCTGCAACAAGCAAAGGCCAATGCTACCCTCCTTATTCATCATTCAGGTAAAATGAACAATTTCTCCTATTTCTGATGCATCAAAGCTCCCCTATTCACTGAGATATCAATAGTGACTGCATATAGCCAAATACTAATATTAAAACAATTTTCATGCATTATTTTCAGTATTAAAACAGACGGTTTAACCTATAAAACTCTTTTTTTAAGTGGAAATATGATTCTTCTACCAACTACACCCAATTTCCCAAAAGCATATCTATTGAAGTGTTATTTAATCAACAGGCCACCAGAGGGCAGTGCTACCAAGCTGCCTGCTGGGACATGGTTAACTACATATGAAAAACATATTTTTCTATTAAATTAGACATTTATTTTGTTACAAACAGTAATATATGTTATACAATAGGATAATGGATGGTATATGACATACATTTGTAAATGTTGAATATATTAACCCCTTTTCCTTGACTTGAAATATAAATGAACTAAAAAAAGCACACAGACATGCTCCCTCCCTGTCTGCATCATTTCTCCATCCGTGTCTCCTTCAGTGTGATAGCAGTGAGGACGCTGAATGAAATGACCTTCCTCTCCTGACTCCTCCTCCTCCCTTTCTGGTGGCAGGAGGGGTTAATAAAAAAAAAGACAAAAAGGGAGAGGGAGTGGCATAGCAGCCGTGTGTGAAAGGCTTTCATTGAAAATATTTTCCCCTCATGGACAATAGGCAGGAACGATTGCAGCCTTTTCAATGACTGCCGCCTTGTAAGTAAAAGCATATTTTTTCTAATATGTATCGCAGATTTGGATTTCAGGTTGATCATTTATCTCTGCATGTTTTTTGAATGAATTTGAGTTCATGGTGTTTGCATTTATTGTCCCAAGAGGTTCTTATTCTGGAGTTTATTTAGTTTTTCTGCACATGAAAAAGCCACCTTCAAAGATGTCAGATTACTAGGCTGGTAACTGCAGCAGTTATAAAAATCAATGTCTTTAAAAGTGCTTGTTAGAAATTTTCAGTGCAGAAGGAAACGGTTGAACCTGCAAGATGCAAATTAGCGTTTTATCAGCAGGTTTTGTTTTTATGTGAGGGAATGGAGCCAAACTCATGAGGAAAATTTAAAGATCAGCCACAGCTCTGCAGTTTAAAATACCTGAGGTCATAGACAGTTCAGAAATCATCATATGCTTTGTTTACCACAAAAAAAAAGGAAATAATAAAATAAAATTTTTTTAAATTCATTGTCCAGTGCAGAGATGCAAATCCTGGTGTGTTTTGGTGAAGTGATTACAGATTACTCATCCATGAGCAGCTACAGGGCTCAGTCCCAGAACAGATTAATTGGCTAAACGGATCAGAGCGGCAATAATTAAGTGGCTTTGGCCAAGCTTTGAAGCACCTATGGATTGATATCTGTAGAACGAGTAGCACAGATAAGCTTAGCATTCGCAGATATGTATAAATAGGTGTTATTTGTTCTGAAAATGCACAGACTGACTCTCTTCCCACTCCCTGCCCGTTATGACGCTCTCTTTATCACCTGTGGGTGTCTTCTTGTGATTTAACTGTGAGTCACTGTTTGCTCTCCCATTCTCCTGTGTCTCTCCAGTGTTGATTAAAGAACATTACTGCTCTCAGCAGCTCTGTGTCTCGTTCCCCTACACATCCATCACTGTTCATGGATGAGCTTAATGGCTTTGCATCTCCATATGAACATGTTGGATGGCAGATGGCCTCAGAGAACTCAAATTCTTACCACCTTGAGCCGCAGAAATCTGCTATATGTGGGTCATGGAACCATTAGAGCGTCATACATCAGCCTCTCGTTTTTATCTGTTTTTCTCCTGAGACCACACTAATCCAGTTTCCTCTTGATTGTTTTATTATTATTATTATGATTTCCCCCTCTTTAATAGAGTCTGGTAATTTCCATGCTTTGAACTCATAGACGATAATACACTGACCTAGATTCGAACTATATGCTTATGACTTTGGGGATTTATCTTTCATCCTGTCGTTTAGCAGTAAAAGTTTTGACCTAGAAACGTTTCATTATGTCGTATAGCAGCCGATGCTCGGGTTTTAAAGCTGGGTTATTTAAAAAGCAGGACTTTTACAGCCACAAACGTAAGTTTCAACATTCAGGTTATATTTCAAGGCCAAGTAAATCCTGGAATAAAAAAAAAAAAAACGTAAAAAGAAAGGTAAATAACTGCAACGACACATTCGAGTGGTTTAAGTAACAGGAGTTACTAAGTAGGATTATACTAGTTGAAATCTGTTGTCGCAGTACTAAAATCTCAAACTTTATCATTACCTAGAAAAATGTTTGATTTTGAAGAATTTAATTAAAAACAACAATAATTAGTATTTCTCATCATGAAAAGCTTTCTAGACAGAATCACAGATGCTAGCTAGACTGTGCACATACTGTAAATACAAAATAACTAACCAACATATAAAAACATTTAACAGTATTTAATTTTTTTTTTTCTTATTTTAACATATAAATAATCCAGAAATGTAAAAGTAAATGTAATAGTAAAACTATTTATATATAATCAAACAACGCTCGTTTTCAGTATCAATGCCTTGTTGAATTAGAATTATATCTTAATACAGTATCGATGTTTTTGACAACCCTAGTTTTTGGTTGCAGAAATAAAAGCAGGAGGTAGAGAGATACAGCCGCCAGCTGATATTTATGGGATATTTTTCTATCAGCCTTGGTTTGTCCACATTAGAGCAGCACCACTCCCTTCATTTGCTGTCGATTTTTAATGATTTGGTTTGATTTCTTAATCAATGTTTCTTTTTTTGTTGTATAAATATTTTGAAACTTGTGTAACATTTTGTATTGTGTAAATGGCTTTAAGAATCTGCTCATATTTGGAATAGGTTGGGCTGATACTAACGTCAATATAGTTGGCATCTGCATGGGCTTTAAATAACCGATATCGACCTATAGTGAGAATCACAACCTTCAGTCTATTTCACTGGGATTTAATTTGACGAACTAATTTTGGTTTCAATAAAAAATGAAACATAGTTGTAGTATTCACATTGATTCAGATTGCATGGAGAGGTTCTGGAAACCTCAATCATTTTCTTGTAGATACTCATTTGGGTTTTGATCTAGACCTTGACTGGACCATTGTAATGATCAAAACCATTACATTATAGGTCTGGCTGTATGTTTTCTTTTATTCCAGTTTGCTCAGATCTAACCGCAGCCCCTTCTAAAACATCTACATGTCCTGAACCATGGCTCTCTACTTGCTATGTCTATAAAGGCTGGATTTGTAGACCGATCCTTCCACCTGAGCTGATCTCTGCACGGCCCCCAGAGCTACAGTTGCTTTTAGAGTGCTGTTTGTTTATTATTGTTCACCAGCAAACCTCTTAATAATAAAAGCAATGAAAACCATAATTTTCCTTCCACTTTAGAATAATGTTATTTAGCATAAATCTGTCAGATAAAAGTGACATGATAACATGCCCAAAAGCTCCAATAGAGTGAAGACATGTGCACAGCCTTGTCTATTTTAAATATGCTTTGTAATGCTTAGTAATCAATCCATTCTCCTTGAAACGATCTGAAAGGGCTGAAAGCTCAGAGCTCAGCTCATGCCAGCTAGAAGAGGAGAGACGGGAAGAGAGGAGGAAAAGGGGGTAATGCGTCATCCTTTTTTCTCCCTCTTCATCTAAAAATAGCCTTGCCTCCCAATTGCATAGGCCCACGTTTCCTAGGCAACCATGTTCATTCACAGCTTTCCGATGTTGTGGAAGATGGGTTGTTTAGAGATCGGGGGTGAAGTGTTATTATCCTTCGCCATCCGTTTCCCATTAACTCCTCTCACTCTAAACTTTAAGGATTTAGAGGAATTTTCTCAGTCTGTCTGAAAAGCAGACGGTACTGTCTATCTGTCATCAGCATTATACACAACGTGTTCAGACATGTTCTTTTTTTTTACTTGGTCGGTTTGTTTTAAACTGCTATGCTGGTGTCTCTGTGTGAAGATGACTCAGGAGATGAAACCCCTGTGCCTCAGGAGGACCGTGCCCTCACCCAAGGAGCGCTGAAGTCTCTGGCCACCAAGTTGGAGGATCTGAGCACATGTAATGAGCTGATCGGAAAGCACGGCGCCGCTCTCCAGCGCTCCCTTAGCGAACTCGAGGACTTGCGTGGGTCCAACGAAGGCACAGACAAAGTGAAAGCCGTTAATGAGCGAGCCACTCTCTTCCGCATCACCTCCAATGCTATGATCAATGTGAGTTCCCACAGCGAGTGGAAAACCAGCACAGTGGCTCATGTGATTAGCTGCCTTGGTACTGGCTCGTACTTTGATGTTTGTTGTTTTCACACCTCAGGCTTGTCGAGACTTTTTGGATGTGGCAGAATCTCACAGCCGACGGTGGCAGAAGGCTCTGCACTATGAGAGAGAACAGCGCCACCATCTGGAGGAGACCATCGAACAGTTAGCCAAACAGCACAACAGCCTGGAGAGAGCCTGGAGGGAGAATCCCACCTCTTACACAGGTGGGGGATCACAGTCAGCCTGTTACACAGACAGTTATCATTTTTATGATGTGAAAAGCATAGTATTGACAAGACCAAACTTAAACTACATTCAAGTAGTTTAATTTTAATGTGTCCTTTAAAATGTATAAGAAAATATATCTATTCTATTCTGTACTCAAAGATGAATGGAGGACATTTCTGTGAATTCCTCAGGAATAACAATCTGTTAAAACGATGCAAAGATTAAAGATAGTGTTTCTATTATTCAGGCATGTCCAAAGTCTGTCCTTAAGAGCCGCTGCTCTGTGGGTTTTAGAGGTTTTCCTGCTTCAGCACAGCTGAATTCCACTGATGGCTGATTAACAGGGATCTGCTGAACTGCTATCACCTGAATCAGCTGTCAGAAAGCCGGGAAGCATTGAAAACCTGTAGGACAGCAGCCCTCAAGGAACGATTCCGACATAGCCGCTATTATTGACCTTAGTTCAGCAATTGACACTGTTGATCAATATGTTTTATAAGAGTGCCTGGAAAACTGGGTCAACATTACTGCTGCAGCACTGAACTGATTTAAAATCTGTTTATATGGTATTTCGTATTTTTATGCTTAATGGCATCTTGCTTTAACTCTTTGTGCTCTATATAAGCTACCGGAACCAAAATGTAACTATTATTATCTCCCTCTGGATTTGAAAATTATTTAAAATCCTACAAAGTTTTTTTTAAACAGCCATAAAGAGGCCTTCTTTGAAAATCCTTGAGTGTCTTTGGGGGTTTTGAAATTTCACACAGATGATGACCGCTATCAAAATGCTTTTTTTTTTTGCTTGTTCGTCACATCATTTTTTTCCCTTATTTAGTCAGTATATCTAACGTATGGGTAACAGCATATGCGTGAGTGCGTCAATCCTCTCTTGATTGAAATGGCAGATTTCCAGTCACATTGAGCCTAAGTCATTTAGCGGGTGCGTTATGTAATGCAGGGAAAATGCAAATCTCTGGAGGCATGGCTTCCAATGCAAGCTATGCTGAGTGGTTGTGAAAAGACCTAAAAAAGGACCCTTCTGTTATGTTTAGAACCTGCTGCATTGTCCAGAAATTCAAAGCAGAAAGGCAGTGTTTTTTTTGCAGTACCGAACTTTTGTGTTAGACTTGCTAACATGACCAAGTTGTTGGTATGCATTGCTGCTTATATTGTCTCAGAAGTAATTAGCATACAAAGATAAAAGGAACCTTGCATTTTTTTTCTATTACTGCATTTTATTGCAAAATGCAACATTTGGATGTAGAAATATTGCTGTTATACAAAAATGACACTTTTCTGCAATTTTTTTCTCAGCAAAGGTGTCAGATTCTGTACTAAATCTACTTGAAAGTAAATTTCTGATAACAATAGATGATATTAACAATTCTCTCTTGGCTCACTGTGGTGTTTGGCTTGGAACAAGCTAAATCTCTATTTTTATTAATAGCCTCTGTCCCAGGCAGTATTTTCAGTGTCAATCTGACATTACTAGGCTTTATTAAGAAATTTACATTGTGTCTTCGAGAGTCTAACCTACTTCAGTTAGCCCTAATTTAGCTCTAATAAATTTGAGAATTTGTGAAAGCAAAGACATAAATATTTGGGTCTAAAACCAGCTTTATGAAAACAAACTAAATCAATCTTTACATGCATTATCGTCCCCTAAGATTGCACAAAACGGTAGTCTACATTACGTCCTTTATGTACGTAGCACCGTCACACATAGGGGCGTGTGCTACAGGCTTTATTCACGTACCTAGTACTCCAAAATGGGTTCTTATTTTTGTAAGATGTCTGAAAATATGACTGACTTTTATTAGAGATTTTATTGGAGACTTTCTTTGAGAGTTTTCTTTTTCCAGTGAACTCCAAATTTTGCATCTCTCTAACAATTAAGATGTCAAGAGGGGTAAGATTTTACCTATTCAGGACCGCTTTGTTCAGATTGCTCCCTAAAAGGTGTTGATCAAAATAAGATTAAATTGTGAAAGCATTTTAGGCGAATAAATCTTTTTCTATTTCAATAATTTTCACTGAGAATACCTCACAAAGACCATGTCCTATTAACATTTTGTTATGTGTTTAGATCATTCTTTTCAAGTCCGTCCTTTTATATGTTAGACCTGACAGATGCTTTGCTAATATTTATTTTTCACCACTATGTGGCCTTCCTGAGCATTTGAAGCTTATATGAGGCCTCAAAAAATGGATCATTTTGCAACACATTTAAGAGCTGTGAAGCTTCAACAAAGCCACACCTTAATCTCAATAAACATACTCAGGATTTATGGATATGAATGTAGGATGTGATATGAATGTAGGATGTGAATATTATCAGGATAAACTTTGGCGGTACATTCAATCCAATTTTTTTTATTCAATCTGATTCAACATTCAGTTTTTTATCAACTTGAGTTGTATTTAAAATAATTTATTAGTAATATATTCAATGGAGCAGTAGATAAATACTACCACATCTAGTTCTAAGGTTTGAAAGAATTTGTCCAAATAACCAAAGTGAGGGAAGAACTTTGCAGCCTTTGCAGCTTTAGCCCCCACTTCACAAACTCCATTGTTTACATTGTATTCCAAGCGCTAGCCGTGTCTTATCACACCTAGCATTAAATATTTTTTAGTAGTATTTCACACTTGATCTTGGACTTTTTACATCTTCATTGAGGGTTTCCTGTTTCCATTACTTCTTTGTTTACAGATTGAAAAGACTTTGAAGGTAACCAGAGTGAGCTGCTTGTGTAGGAATTCATAAAGTCAGTCTGAGACTAAGCACCTTGAAAACCTCTGCCTCTTTTAAAATTGAATTTAATCAATTCATTACTTTTGAACAGTTTCAGTTTAGAAAATAACAGAATGCCATGTGATGTTCTCTAGTTTTTTAATTTTCCAGATTAACGGAGTAAATAATAAACATTATGTTGACCTTAATAAAAGCTCTAGCTAAACATGCTGAGTGCTTCTTTACCTTATTACACTAATTCAGTTTCCTTTTTATTACGTTAACTTTATCACATGCAGTCCTAGGAAAGCACACAAGGATGCTTTGTCACTGTAGAATGAAAACGAAGTGCTTACTTTGACTTTAACTACCGGTATAGTATACCATACTGTATTCGCCCAATTTTCAGCAAATCCAGATATAAACTGTGGTCTTACATGGATCAGAGGAGATGATTGATCCTAAGGGAGTATTTGTTAAGTGATGTTGAATTTGCATTAATAATTGTCTCAAGAATCTTTGTCCTACGTAAGGATAGCTGTAAAACTTTAGCAAAAACTCATCACTTCAGTTTAAATATGTACAAACCAGATAAACTTACCACATTTTTACTTTTCCATGATTGGCTATTGGCTGATTGATACATCTTAGCTAAGTTAAACTTACAAGAAAGCCCAGTTTACTTTGTATTTTATGTTTTTTCTGCTGATATTCTTCTGACCACTGATAGCCTTTTACTCTTGGACATTTACCCAATCAAACGCAAGTATGTTGGGGTTAAGTGCCTTGGCATGGGGGACATTGCCAAATGAGAATAGAAAGGTGAAATCAAAATCTTTGGTTAATCTACCCAATTAGCTTGCCCTGTTAAAATAAACATCAGTACAAGGATATGGGTATCACTGATTTTTAGTACTATATAAAACTTATGAAATGTAGATTATATATAAATTCTTCATGGTCTCACAGAATCTAATTTTTTGAATATTATCTCATAGACCTATCTCAGAGATCCAAGTAATAAACAGAATACAGTATAAAAATATAAATTGCATAGTAGAGGATGCTACAAAAGTCTATACTAGAATGCAGAAAGAAACAAGATTTAATAGTACATCAGCAAAGCTAGACTTGACTGTCTAAAAAATTAATAAATGTGTGTGTTTAAAAATATTACCGCTTAACATCCACCTTATTTTGGGTTCTCCTCGCCTATTTTGCATACCGAAAGGAAAAGCAAATAACTTAGGAACTGTATGCCCAAATTACAGGTGCAATACATTATTTGAAAGCAAACACCCTCTAGTTTCTGAATATATAAATTAAAATTGGGTGAGTAGAACACAGACCAACTTGCATCAGTTCAAACATGACTTAAAGTTGTTTTTTTATTCTCAAAATTATATGTCTTTTTTGAACAGCAGTAATAAAGACATTCTTCAGAAAAAGCAGGTTTCATTGTATTATATATGTTCTACATCTTGTCAACCACAAATGCATAAAATTTCAGACCTCTAGCTATAACAGTTCCAGAGCTGTGGGCTTTGGAACTTTTGGTGTCAGCTTGGAGCTGGGCGCAATGGCTCCACCTGCTAGTAAAAATTTTACCAGTGGAATTTTATGCATTCTGAATTATTACCCCCACTTAAGGTCCACCTGGTCGCCGGCGACCAGGTGGGTTTTAAGAGGTTAATGAGTGTATTTAAACCAATCAAAACACTTATTGCAAATATAGATGTACCATTGTGGCTGGATGTAAAAAGGAATGAAAATGGATAAAAATGACCCACCTTCAGATGTAGCCATGGATTTGGCAATCACAACAGGTAAAATCATCATTTCAAAACTGCTATTTGTAGCTGACAAAAGTTTTTTTTTCAAGTTAAAGGACTTTTCATTATGAAAAAATGTTTAGACGTTAACATTCACCTGGTTAATTGGTTTACGACCTACCAATTCTAATTACTTTTAACAAAACACAAATAAAGGTCTGTCTTATTTATTATCCACTGGATTGCTTATGTTTTAACATTTCAATGGCAGTTGGAGAAAAACTAAAGTTGCTTTATTTTACAATTACGCAAGAAATTCTTTTCCTTAGCAATATTAAAAAATATGTCAACTAACCTGTCCCATGTCTACTCCTGCAGGTGTGGATCGCTCTCAAGAAGGGGACACGAGTGATGAAAATGAAGAGGCGGAGTTCTTTGATGCAATGGAGGACGCGCCTTCATTCATAACCGTGACTGCTACTGGAAATATCCAACACAAGTAGGAAGCATCACCTTCTTTAAATGTGCAGCAATCTCTCATACCTGTTCTAGCTACAATTACCGTTGCTATCTTTCAAACCCATTTCGTTTACTGCAGGCGCTCAGGCAGTAACCAGAGTATGATGAGTGGAGGAGTGCCCAATGACTGGACTCACAATGAGAGTGTAAGTCCAAACAATATTTACACTAAATATCAGATATTTGTCTGTCTTCATTTATTGTGTAGAGCGTCTTTAAAAGTATTCATACCCCCTTTGTTTGGTCATATCTTGTCAAATTAACCAGCTTAATTGTCTTTGCTTAAAAAAAGAATAAAGAAAATATAATCTAGAGCATGATGCTGCCACCACCAGGCATCAGGGTGAGGATGGTGTATTTAGGGTGAATTGCTGCATTAGTTTTCAGCACACAAAGCATTTTTCAGCTATAAAAAGATCAATCTTGATCTCAGCTGACCAGAGAGCCTTCTTCAGCAAGTTTGTTGTCCCCTTAATGACCTCTCACAGTCTATAAACGTGATTTCCTATGACGCTCTTTTGACAATGGTTTTCTTTTTTACATCTGTTAACAGATGCTACCTGGACTTACCTTTGTAGCTCTTTGCTCATGGATGAAATTTTTAATTCACAAACGGGGGGTGGGGGGGGAGGGCGCGCAAGTATTAATATAACTTCAGCGTGTTTGCCCATCCAATCACAGACCTGATTCAGTGGCGCATCAGAGGTTTGTAAAGTGAGCTTCTCATGAGTGACAGAGGTGACAGCCAATCACACAAGAAAAGACGGAGGGCCAATCAGGAGCTTATGGGCGGTCTAAACTCAGGGAAGTGTGCTTCAACTTGAGCTGCTGTTTTCCATTTGGTCCTAGTGCTCGACGATTATCTGTGTACTGTAGCGTAACATTGTTTTTGGGGCAGTAAAAAGTTCCTGGGACCAAAATGGACGTTTGAAAAAGTGCAGAGGACATGTCCCTCCTAAAAAATTACATCCATGTCTATGCAACACTTTATTTAGGGGTATTACAGTGAAGGGGGCTAAATATAGATTAAGAAAGTGAAAAGTGGATTTTTATTTGCAAAAGAAAAAGAGTTCTTGCTACTTTGTGTTGCTCTGTCACATTTGGTAAAAACCACCATAGAAGTTGGTGGGTGTGACAAAAAAGGAAAATATTTGGGAGCTGTTGAAAATAGTTGTCATTTAAAAACTCTATATTTTTATTTAAAGGACAACTCTGGCACAAACCAGATGCAGCTACGAAGAACTAGGCGCAGCCGAATCCCTGATAAACCAAACTACTCCCTCAACTTGTGGAGCATCATGAAGAACTGTATCGGAAAGGACCTATCCAGGATTCCCATGCCTGTAAAACAAAAAATATTTTGCAGATAGAAGAATTGGGTAATAGGCTGTTTTTTGATGTCGATATGCTTTTTGTACAGGTAAACTTCAATGAGCCACTGTCGATGCTGCAGCGTCTGACGGAGGATCTGGAATACAGCGAGCTGCTGGACCGGGCGGCTCGCTGTGACTCCTCCCTGGAGCAGATGTGCCTCGTCGCCGCCTTTTCTGTCTCATCCTATTCAACTACAGTCCATCGCACCTCTAAGCCCTTCAACCCTCTCCTTGGGGAGACTTACGAGCTGGACCGACTGGAGGAGTACGGCTATCGCTCCATCTCTGAGCAGGTGAGATACCAGATTTTTGTTCTTTTTTTCTTCACAGTAAATTTTAAATAGAAACACACCAGTTTAGCCATTAAAGCAAATGATGCGATGGGTCGGCATTTAATATCTGTGCCTAACTCTAGCTGATACTGATTGATCCCAGGTCAGCCATCATCCACCAGCTGCAGCCCACCATGTGGCATCAGAACGAGGCTGGACTCTGTGGCAGCACATTACCATCGATAGCAAGTTTCGTGGGAAGTATATTTCTGTCGTACCATTAGGTAAGACGCCATCAGCAGCTATTAAAACACAAATCCCTCTACATTTATTTGCAGACCCAGTCAATGCCTTGGCAAAATCCTAAAATAACTTCCTCATTTCCTCACACAGACATTTTAATAAGATGCAACCTTTGTGTTGTTTCAATCTCTTTACAAAAAAAACTTTCTTTAATAGTTGACATTGATTAGATGGTCTAGAAACTCTTGAGTAGTATTCCAAAAAAGTAAAAAAAAAACCACTGGACTTTGTTTCCAAGTTTGAAGAGGTTTCCATCCCCATCCAGGAAGCTTTTTCAATTCAAAATGTCAGAAATAGTGTTGAGTTCGAAGCTTTATACAGTAGCCCAACAAAGCCTTGCTTTTGTTTAGAAAACATGCAAATTAAAATGGACGAACAGGACCACCTCTTTGGAATGGCGGTCGTTTGGCTTCTTTTGTAAGCCTGCAATGCCCCATTCCTGTCTATGGCATTGAGAGAATCTTTACCAGCATTTTGATTGGAAATCAATTTAGTTTCTTTTAGTTTCCTTTCTTGAAAATACAGGACATTTTTAAGCCACAAGGACAAGATTGCATATCATTGGAGTAAAACTCTGCTAACCTGTATGAAGCAAGAAAGGGTTTCAAGTAAATAGCTTCTCCTGTGAAGCATTCATCCTCTAAAGTCCATCAATACTAAACTAACATGAAGCCATGGGCCTATTTGCCTTTTTATTTAGTGTACATATTTGGTATATAATGTCCTTAAGGACTCCTCTCTACCAGAAAATTGAAAATGGAATAACCTCAACAAACTATCTGAGACTAAACTCTCTTCATGGCCATTTTACTCCCCGGACCTTTGGACTAACCTGAAGGGATGAGAACTTACAGTGAGTAAAATAAGTATTTGAGCACCCTGCGATTTTGCAAGTTCTCCCACTCATTCAGACATTTTCATCTTAGGTGCATGTCCACTGTGAAAGACACATTCCAATAAAGAAATGCGGAAATCATAATGTAAAATTTATTTGCATGTTGCAGCTGCTAATAATTATTTGAACAGCTGTGAAAATCAATGGTTATATTTGGTACAATAGCATTTGTTTCCAATTACAGAGGTAAAACATTTCCTTTAGTATTTCACCAGGTTTGCACACACTAAAGGAGGGATTTTTGTCCACTCCTTCACATAGATCTTCTCTAGATTAGACAGGTTTCTGGGCTGTCGCTGAGAAACACAGAGTTTGAGCTCCATCCAAAAGTTATCTAATGGGTTTAAGTTTGGAGACTGGCTAGGCCACACCAGAACCTTGATATGCTTCTTCCAGCGCCTCTCCTTGCTTATCCTGGCTGTGTGCTTCAGGTCATTGTCATTGTGGAAGACCCAGCCTTCACCCATCTTCAATGCTCTAACTGAGGGAAGGAGGTTGTTCTGCAAAATCTCACAATATATGGCCCCGGTCTTCCTCTCCCTATTGTAGTGCAGTCACCCTGTCCCATGTGCAGAAAAACACCCCCAAGCATGATACTACCACCCCCATGCTTCACAGTAGGGACAGCATTTTGGGAATAGTGCTCTGCACTCTTCTTCATCCAAACCCAGAGTGTGGAATAAAGACTAAAAGTTTCTATTTTGATCTCACATAACTTTCTCCTTTGACTCCTCTGGATCATCCAAGTGCTCATGGTCAAACTTAAGACAGCCCTGGATGTGTGCCTTGACGTCTTCGTGTATGACACACAGTAACCTTGGAAACAGAGGTGCCAGCTCTCTTCATGTCATTGACCAGCTCCTTCCCAGCTGCTTTCTTAGGATCATTGATTCACCAGGAGGATTTTTGCATGGAGCTCCAGTCCAAGGCCTTTTGACAGTCAGGTTTAGCTTCTAAACTTTTCTAATAATTTCTCTAACACGGATGCTGCATAATTTGTAAGACTGATAACTTGCAACATCACATGGTGTTCAAATGCCTAAATTCCTCACTGTAAGAGCAGACACTGGACTGAGATCTATCTAAAGATGTGTGAAAAGAAATGGTCAGAAATCCTTGTTTCTGTACACTCTGACCTTGGTAAGATGAAGCACTATCATTAAAAGTAAAGGCCTGTCCCAGTGTTACTCAACAAACCAAAATTTGGAATTCTTTCTAGTTCATTTATTACACTGAATAACGTAAAGAATAAGTTTACAGGTTTTTCAATTACGAATTTTAAAGATTATGAGATAAATTCATTTAGAGTTTTTTAATGCATCATTTTCTAAAGGTACCAATGACTGTGGAGGATTCTGTATTAAGAAAAAATTTAGCTAGACCGATGTTGTTTATATTTTCAGGCAACATTCACCTGCAGTTTCATTCTAGTGGAAACCATTATGTGTGGAGCAAGGTCACATCAACTGTCCACAACATCATTGTAGGGAAACTTTGGATTGACCAGGTGGGTTTAGACTCTTATGGGATAAAAAGTACATTTCACGAGGCATTTTAGAAACCCTTTACTAATATCTGTCCTTCTTTATGTCCTTCTGTCTGACACCGCTGACAGTCTGGAGACATTGACATTGTGAACACCACCACAAAGGACACCTGCCGTCTCAAATTCTCCCCATACAGCTACTTCTCCAGAGACGTTCCACGGAAAGTAAGCATCTCTGCTCCGCTTAGCTACAGACAAGTGTTTGCTAAACTTGTGCTAGAGAGTATGGAGCAGAGATTTTTTTTTATTGCTGTGGATAGAAAAGGATTTTTTTTCCATTAACCTAAAAAAAAAATGCATCAAATTATTTCCAATTTTGAAGAACCTTGTTTAACTAAACTCATCTCCTTCTGTTTCTTTCCCATATTCCATAGGTAACGGGGGTAGTGGAGGACGCACAGGGCACAGCCCATTACATCCTATCAGGAACCTGGGATGACAAAATGGAAAGTGCAAAAATTGTGGAGAGCAGCCGGGGTTCTGGAGGCTCGGAGGGAAAACAAAAAACTGTTTATCAGACTCTGCAACCCAAACTATTGTGGAAAAAATATCCACTTCCGTATGTTTCAGAAACGCAAAAAAATCCAATAAAATCCAAATGACTTGTAAGCAAACGTCTGACACTTCTTTATTTCTTCTCAGAGACAATGCAGAGAACATGCACTATTTCTCTGCCCTGGCACTGACCTTGAATGAGCCCGAGGATGGTGTCGCACCAACAGACAGCCGTCTGCGACCGGACCAGCGTCTGATGGAGGCTGGCTTGTGGGATGAGGCAAATATCGAGAAGCAGCGGCTTGAGGACCATCAGAGACTGGAGAGGAAAAGAAGGGAGGCGCAAGCTAACCAGGCCCTGGAGGAAGGTGAGCACTTGGTCCCAAAACCATAAGATTGTTGAGCTTTTCATTAGAAAAAGCTGGAAAAGAGCTGAAAACAATCTAGATTCCTGTGAAAAAAATATTGTAGCAGAGGTCATGTTGCTTTCTGCCTGAAGTGACAGACCGGGAAACTAGGAGGCTGATCAGAGAGCTAGCTAAGTGATCAAGAAATCTGAAGGAGCTGCAAAGAGTCTTCAAAGACAAGAATTCCAAACATACAGACAGAACTACAAAGTAATGGCTAGACTGAAAAATATAATTTGTTGGAATGGCCCAGTCAAAGTTCAGATCAGAGACTAATAAAGACTCAAGGCTCTCTGTACGGCCATGTTCAGCTGATGTTTACAGAGGCTCTCTGTCCAATCAGAGCAGAGCTGTTTGAAAAAAAAAAGAATGGAAAGCAGGTGGTGATATGCATCAAACAAGCAGCAGTAACCACAGTAAAGGATAGTTTCACAAATGATTTACTTTGAGGCTGATGACCAGTTACAAATATTTATTACATATTGATAGTGATTAAAAACATATTACGTATTGATAGTGATAAAAAAAAAAATGTATGCATAATGTTCAATCCACTTCATGATTGGCTATATTTTAAACAATTAAAACATGCTAATAATGGAAGAAAAAAAAATAATTGGAAGAAAAACCAATTTTTTAATGAAAGTTTTTTTCCTAATTCTGGTTATGCCTGTTTACAGGGCAAGACATCGAAGGTTACCAGCCAGTGTGGTTCGAGAAGAGAACCAATGAAAACACAGGAGAAACATCCTACATGTACAGAGGCGGCTACTGGGAAGCAAAAGAAAGACAAGACTGGAATCATTGTCCTGAGATCTTTTAGGTATCATAGTAAAGATAGGGGTGAGGGCTCAGGTGAGCAGGTGGCAGAAATGGAGACAGCTATTTACATTTTTAAAGCACAAAACCTCCAGCCTCCACTTCCTGTATATATGTGTTTGATCTCTGTTCCAGCTGTGCTACCAGGATGCATGGCTTCAGTGCTCTGCAGAACCTATTTATGTAAGCAGTTTGGGTTCTGTTTGCCTGTCTGCGAGATGATTCAGATTAAGTTTACAAGGAACAATATGAGCACTAAAACACACCTAACCAAGATTGCATGATCATACCTGGGGATACGGAGTTCTCTCTGCTATGAGCACTGAATGTCATTCTAATCAAAGATGGGTACCAGGGGCATCAGTCTTTGAAAAAGTGAGTCAAAGCCTTCCTCTGTGCTGTAAAGTGAGCATGATTTTGTAATCACTCCTGTTAGTATATTTTATTTTTTCTCAAAATTGCACAAATAAGTGGCCTCTATAAACAAGAACCTCATTGGATTTTTTTTTTTTTTTTCAAATTTGAATTCCCTGGAAAGTTGAACTGTTTTATATTTCTGAACTGTTTACAGATAATTAAGGGTACTATATTTTAATGCTAAGGTTTACTATAATTTAATGAACTATTTTTGTTATGTAAACATTAATCATTCCAATTAAAAACCAGACTGTAAGAGTAGATAAGGAATTTATATGGTTTGTAAACTACTAGAATTTCTGAGCAAATTTTTATTTTTCCTCATCGCTCTGCACTTTATCCTCCAGAATTACATATCAAAAAACACATTTCTGACGTTTTTCAAAATAAAAAAGTTTAAAAAAAAATTATATAAAAGCAATTTCAATTATAATGTAATTTAAAAAAAAAACTTTCTATCAGACAGAGGGGAAACAGTTTTTTTTTAGAGAAAAACACAAGTGAACCTATTCTGCTGCATTTCAAGTCCTAAAAGAACAATTTGCTTAAAGCTTTCCTAATGTGACTGTGCCGTTTTAACAGAAAAATCAAGAACTGCTTAAAAACAAATAAGCCAGTGATCTATAAATGCATTGTTGTGTGGAGATATATTATATTTATCCAGATGAAATGCTATTAATGCTTCACTCCACAGTTTAGTTGATAGAGCAATAAAAATAAAAGGATTTATGATAAAATATCTATGAAAGAAGAGCCTTGTCTCAGATGATAGGAGCAGTATAATCTGATCTAACACAAGCGTGTGAAGAGACACTATTCCGAAATGTGTGTGGAGGATAACAAATTCAATTTCATTATTTCACTTTTTTTTTTTTTTTGTTCTGAGCTCAAGTAGGAGGGTTCCGACATCATCATTCGGGAAGAAAGGTGATAATTCATGTTAATCTATGGAGAGAGAAAATTGATACAGAAATGTGTTGTTTTTTAACCAATAGACCCTCATATACAGGATTGATTGCATTTTCAAAATTGTGGTTGACCTTTTAAAATTTGAAATTATTATAAGGTTAAGTCATGACTTATTTCAGGCTTTGTTTAGCTATTGTAAAAGGTTCTGAAAAAAGCATGAAACAAACTGAAATTTCAATGTGGTCATTGATTTAGTCATTGAATTGTGGCTTAACATTTGTCCGATTCTCCCTATATAAACTTAAAACTGTTTGGAAAAAGAGGCAAAAGCAGGCTTTGATTAGAAGCTCTTTAAATCTTACAAACTCTTATGTTCTCACTTCACACTCCTCCAGTTTAAAGTCTTCTATTGGAGATTTCTAATACTTGATTATATCATAGCAAAGAACTCAGCAAGGAAAACACGTTGCTCTTCATAATGAACGGTGTGTTAGCAAATATAAAAAGCAGCTTTCAAATTATGGTTTCAGTTTTAAAGGAAATGTTTTCCAACTCGACATGGGCTTATGGGGAAAAAGCAAATGCCATCCTTGGCAGCAACAGTTGCAATCAAACATTTAGACCATTTCCATCAATCCATGGGAAGACATTTTAGCCCACTACTCCTTCACTTTAGCCACAACAGAGTTTATTTTTTACCATCCTGTTTAAGTCATACAGCAGCATCAAGTCTGGACTTTGATTTGAACATTCCAATATCCTTATTTTGTTTTTTTTCCTAAATAATAAATCCATTAGTATTTTTAATACTTTGGTGCTGAAATCTCACTGTTATTATTTAAATGCATGCAATGACCTCATGTTTGATTTATTTAATATGTTCCTCAACCTGCAGTAAATAATGATAAATCCAATAAAGCAACAAATTGAGTAAAATATATATAAAAAATGTCCTTAATTTAAAAATAGCCAAAAATATATGTTATTTTCTGATCTGCAGCTAAAGTTATAAAACCTATTTTTTGGAGAAAAGCATGCAGAACATTGAGGAAAACTCTTGAACGTCCTATAAAATGACTTTAGAAAGTTAGACATCAATACTTTAAGAACCATCAAGATTTGTCCTACTAAAATCCTAAAAAGATGCTAGGATTCATATCAAGATGTTCTCTAATGCATAAATCAGCAAACAATAAGAACTTCTATTGGTGCTCAAAAGTGATTCTAGCCTTAATTTGAGTATTTAACAAAACACTAATCTATAGTAAGTATGCCCTTGAAACAAAAGTTTTTATACAGATGCTAGATGGTTTTAATGTCTTCAGACTCATAAGGATTTTTTTTCCGGTGATTGTTTATTGTTATAACACTTAGGATTTTAATATGTTAAGCAATTATTTTAAAGATATAAAGGTAAAGATATTCATGACAGATATGTGAATTATTGTTTATATGTAAATATAAAGATTTTTCTTTTTGTTCTTGATGTTGCTTTACTAAGATACTATATGTCAGCAATAATAATAATATATAAACAGCTATTTAAGCACAAAAAGCACTATTATGTCAAGCTAGTTTAGATTTCCATTAGATGAGTGGTGGTTTAGTCGCTTACATGGATATGACTAGTAAATATCCTCCTTAGGCAACAATTACCTATGTATTTATACCTTACTGTGTATAACAATAGGGCATGGTTCATGGCTGCCAGGTCAGCGTTGGCCTCCATTTAAAAACAATACTGTAGAACTAGAAGCTCATGTGTTATATCACGCTATTGAACATGTTTGACATTACTTGAATATTAAAACTTATCACTTTTTCTCGCCTGGTTTGGAGTGGTAGAAAATGAACACAGCCACTGAGATGTTGCAAAGGCGAAATTGTGAATGTATGTAATACGACCTATGAAATCCTATTCAAATTAGGCACCAGGTGTTGTTAATCAGGTGAAACACAGTGCAGAATCTGAAGGTTTCCATGGCAGTATAAACAGTAGCTATGCATGGTTTCAGAGTGCGACTGCACTTTAGTAGTGAGCAGCCTTCTTACCTTGCAGTGTTTGTGGAATTCTTGTGCACATATAATGTTAATTCACCTTTTGTGCCCATTTACCTCAGAAAATTAAAAATTTTTTCGAAATCCAATAAAAATACTACAGAAGAACCTCTGTGATATGGTTCAGTCGAAAGCTTGTTTCTGTTGTTTTTTTTCCTAATAGTTGAAAAGAAAGACATCAAAAGTTCGACAGTGAACTAACACAACATTTTTATCCTTGTTTTATGTGAAGTTTAAGTTTTCACAGGTCTTGTATATTATGCCATCCTTTGTTTTGAAGTATGTTCTAGGAAGCGGATGATATTGATGAAAACATCCTTCATTTTTTTTTTTTTGTAATTATTTTTCACAAGGTGTAATTAACAGACAATGTTCACATGATGCCAGGAGCAACTCATCACTCTACACATGCAAAAAATTAAAACCCCAACAGGTCTACAAACAATGATAGATGTATCCAATGATGGAGGGAGAAGAAAGGTGCAAATAGAAAAAATTCTCAGCTGAAATCTATATGTTTTCAGAAAGAAATACAGAAAACAGGATTTAAGTCATAAATAAAAATGGAAAGAACCTCATTACACCGTAAACTGGAATTGACCTGGTGGCTTCTGCAAGATTTCACTAAAACATTATCTTAGGAGTTGTCCCAGCTAAGGAGCAGTTGTCGAAAGCTTCTAAAAGACCTGAAATTAGCAGATAAAACCTTTTATTTTTCAGGAAAAAAAGCATAACTAAGGCCCTCAGCTGACATGGCATGCTCACAACATGACTCCACTGTTGAAAACAACATGTTAAAATCTGGAGAGAAAAAAAAAAAACATTTAAACAAAATACTAGAATATAGTCTGCTGACAGCAACTTAAGAAACTGTTAGAACACGCCATGTTTGGGAGTAAAATTTGCACACCACATCTCCACTAAAACACCGTACCATCAGTGAAGTCTGGAGGTGCTGGAAACATGATGGTGAAGGGCACTTATTGCTTCATATAAAACTGGCAGGATTCATATAATTGAACAAATGGAAAAATATACTGAGATTGTCTGGACGATAATCTGCTGCCATCTACCAGGATGATGAGGATGAAACAAGGATAGAGGACAGAACACAAGGAACGAAAGTCTCTTTTGGTTTTATAGAGAAAAAAATAAAGATGTAGGAATTGTCATCTGGCCTATCTATGGATAGAACTAAAGACCAGGGTTAATTGAAGGAACCCAAAGAATTATAGGATTAGCAGCCTGAAATAATACCTAAGACAAGCATGCAAGAAGTGCATTGAAGCTGTCATCACTAATAAAGGCTTTTATTCACAGTAATTATGATTATAAAACATCAGTAAACATCTTATCACACATAATTTATTACATCTATGGTTTGATTTCTTTGCATGACAGGCCATGGCGACAATGACAAGCCCAACAGTGTCTCCAATTTAACGATTCTCACCCTGAGGAGACATCTAGCTTTGTGTGGCAGATACAGAACGCTGAGATACAACAGTAGTGCCATAACTGATGTGAAATACTCCCAAATTAACATTTCTAATTCATGATCAAAACTGTGTATTTATTGTTTGCATAGTTTTTGTTGGAGTTTATGCACCTAATATGGGTCATTAGATTTATTTTATTGCACTGGTATATTGTAAGCTGGCACAGCACAATAGATATTTATTTTTGGGTGAAGTGAATGATACCAGCACTTGGTGGGAATTTAATTCCAGTTGCGTCTTTATAAAAAAATAAATTGGTTTTCTGTTCAGAACTTCACCCTCCTGTATGTGGAAATCAAATTCAATACAAAGTTTTACCATTTTTCTTGCATTTCAATGTAGTTGTAAATATCACACCCTGCAATTACGCCTCAAAAATATTGTGAAAAAAAGGGGGTATTAATAGTTTGTGGATTCTGAGGTTCTGTGGACTTAAGCGTTTAAAATACCAACCATTTCCATATGAATGATATGGAAAGGGTTCCAATGAAAACTTAAAAAAAGATCAACGATTAACTAATCATTAGGCTGTGATTACTGACAAGTTGTACGTTGATAATTCAGACCTTGCTAAAAGGGCTGTGCTCATACTGCTTGATACGTTCTCGCAGCATACCGACACCTGCTGGAACTTTAAAGACACTGCAGGCAGCTTATTAGACAGACTAAACTTAATTGATTTGATGACCTATTAGTACAATGATATAATTTAAGTTATTATAGGTTATATTGTATTATTTCATATTTATGTTTAAATGGAAAATATCTTTGATATTTTTAGATGCAGCCAATAAATAATGAAAACATAACATGAAGATTTAGGGGAAAATGTGAATGAGGAATTCTTGTGGACTAGGATTTTAAATCATATAAACAGCAAATACACTAAGAGTCAATTTGAAATTAACTTTAAATCAGATACGTTGAGTGATAACTGAGAAGAAAAGTAAAATTAAAACGGAACAGCTAATACGTTCCAAAATTATTCATAATTTTAATGATAAACCGCAAAGACTAGACATTTTTACCAGATGGATCATGTCGACAGATCAGAGGCGTAGCCAGAAAATCCTAATAGGGGTGGCCAATCAATAACTAATGTACATTGAAAGGTTGCTGAAAGGCACCAGAACCTCAGGGTCAATCTCCTCTATTTCAACAGCAACAAGCAAAACATCCATATTTTCTAGATAAAGACAAACTATACTTTCCTGCAGCCTTTGCTTACAAATAGATGCATATATTTAAACATCTATGCTGTGTAAATAAAAGGTATATTGGACACAATTCTTTCAGGTTTGAGTTCTGGGGCAAACATATTTTACATTGTCATTACCTACTTTTATCAATAATCATACTGCAAAAAAAATGATATTTAAATCTACTAATATCCACATTTAATGAATTTTTAAGTTATTATTAAAGTAGTTATTTATCTATGATTTCACTGAAGACTCCTAGATGACTTACAGAGACACATAATTTTATCTTTACCCCAAATAATTAAAAATTTTGTTTTGAAAAGAACAGGAATTCTAAATCATCTTTAATGTTTGTACATTGATATGCATAATTAACCAGTGTTTCTGTTATCATTATTTGTTAATATATGAAAAAATGTTTAATAAGCTTGAACATTCCCCTTCAGAGTATTGCTGCTGAGGGGAAAAAAATGGTAGGGGTGGCCATGGACACCTCTGGCCCCCCATCCAACTCCGCCCCTGCGACAGATAGGTTTTTAAACAGTTTAGGGTGTCAGTCGTTAAAAACAACTCCTGTATCGATCACATTACTTTCTTTAAACCACAGCGCACCAATACAGCAGTTTTTGCTCTATGGGCTCGACGCAAGCACGGACTCATCACTAGAATAAACTATTTAAAAAAGAAAAAAGACGTGGCATAGCCCTTTAAATAATAATGAAACACGCCTCCCACTCTACTGGTCGATAGCGCTTCGTTATTATGGCGATTTGAGGATGCTGAGGGAACCCTTGGAACAAGGTAGGAACACAGATCCCCTCATCCCGATTAAATACGTTGATGAAATACTTTAAAATCACGCGAGACCAGCGGGCGCTATTATCGCGAGAAGTAAAGCAGGAGAAACGGCCAATGTTTTGAAGCGAACAACCTGCCGTTAGCTAACATAGCAGTCGCAGGAAGGGTGCTAGCTAACATCAGCGCATTTATAGTTGTCAAGTTACAGCTGTGCAGAGATAGACAGCATAACTCGGTTACTTAGGCTGTCAGCAGTACTGTTTTATTTTTTGTGGCCAAGTAGCCACGTTTATTTCACTGAAACGGTTGGGAAAATCAGTCGCCGCATTGATGCGCAAATGAAACCAAAGCTTTAGCTGTATTGACAGCACTAAGAGAACTCACAGGATATCACCTTTCTAAGTGAAAGAGAAACTGTCAATAAGGTAAGCTGCTGTTTTGAATGAAATGCGAACTAACTCTTATTGTGTGTCAAATTCACGGTTACAAGGAAAATTGCTGCTATTAAAACAGCTCCGCCAAATGTGTCGTAATGTTTACAGCACTACTATTTATAGTGGATGCATCATACTCTGTGTGGTCCCTGTCGCTCCATAACTGCATGATGACAATAACCAATCCGTCAAGTCTCCCTCTTGGAGAAGAGGATGGTATGGCAGATTGTTATAAGATATAATCAAAGCGTTGCGTCAACGCGTAAACCTCTTTATTACTCATGTTTGAGATTAAAGATGGTTGAAAGAATACGGTACCAGTAAACCTACAATTTTTGATGCTTTAATTAAAACAGCATTGATGTGGTAGTTTTAGCTGAGATTTTATGAAATGGTATTATATTTCCTTTATTGGTAGTCATCAATTCAGAAGCAAGTTGAAATGCAGCTTTCTAACCATGGTATCCTACTTTAAAGGACATTTTTACCTCCACCATGGAGGTTATGTTTTTAGTTGAGTTTTTTTATGCTCAAAGTCTCGATCTGCTAATCAAACAAGAAAGTGGAGTGAATGAAGAAGGTGAGAGCAGGACAAACACCAGAGGCTGCAGAAACATGCTGCGTTAAAGGGGCACCTCATGTCAAGGAAAAATTCTATAAAATCTGCTAATGATCCAGATCGCGTACGAGTTTTATTTAAGTCACAATATGGGGCAAAATTTGCTGCTTGGTGGAGGTTAGCATTCTAAGAGTGATTTTCTAGTTAAATTGTGAATAGGTTGTAATCAAAGAGTGAATCCTAAACCTAAAGTAATAAATTTTCCCCTGTGGAATTAATGAATCTATTTAAGTGTAATCTGAAAATAATTTCTGTAGTTCCTCATGTACTGTAAATATACTTAAATAAAATCTCGCTCATTAAACAAACCAAAAACAAGTAATCTCATGCCCATGTATAAATATTGTATTCTCTGGGAAAAAGTGCTGATAATTCTTTACTAAGATTCTCATCTAACGGACATTCAGTGTTAGTTTTTAAAACCTAATGTGTCAAATGGAACTAGTGAATTATATATATATATATATATATATATATATATATATATATATATATATATTATGCACAAAACTATGACAAAAATCTGACAAAATCAGGAAATAAAACAACGTGATT